GAGGCTTCTAGAACAAGTTCTGTTCACTCTCTATTACAAAGCTGAGCAGATGCTGTGGAGAGGAAACCTCCTTATCTGAAGTGCAGATGTCTCCAGAGCAGTTCTTGGCACAAGAGGTGGGCAAATTTTGATAAGCGTGAGGGCCCTGGAGATGGCCAGGAGCTCAGACATCCAGGAGGAGTGTGTGTGCATTGGGGGGGGGGCGGTATTTTTATCCATGTGTATATGTGTTTTACTTTTCATCAACTGTTCACCCTTTCCCATCACTTATCTTTCAATGACTTTTCTCTGTGGGTTTTATAAGATGGTGGAGAGCAAGACATCAGAAGCCAAGAGAGAAGATTTCTGAGAAAGTTTGCAAAAGACATGAATGTATATGCACAGTGAGGAGAGCAAGGGAAGGAGGAAGCCACAGAAAAGGAAAGGCAAGAGAAAGATGGAGACAGCTTGGCATAATCACGGGAGAGATGAGATAGCTCAAACGGTTTTGGAATAAGGAGCGGTTTGGAGCTCCCAAACAGTTGATGGGAGCAAAATGGGGGCAATGGTTCTTTAAAATTAATTGGATCCGAGTGATCAGTTTATCAAGGGCTTTGGCAGGAGAGAGATGAGGTGCAGTAAGAGAGACAGTGAACAGTGGAGACCCATGTGTTAAACATATTGAAAGATGTAATTCACCTTAACAGATTAAAGATGAAGTTATCTAGGTGTCCCAGTGATTCAGGACATGTGTCAGGAGCCAACCAACAGCTGTTCCTTAACACAGTCAGGACGGATGAGATGCATCTGCACAGCAGAGGCAACTGTGGCTGGATTTCCTGTCTCTCTCTCCCTGTATGTTTGTCCTTGTGATTAATAGGTGGTGGGATTTTTAGACACCTGTATTTCAGGTCCAATGATCCTCAGAATTCCAATGAGGTTGTACAAAATTATTTCTTGGCCATAGAACAAAAGTCCCCCCTGATGGGGTAGCCCCTGAACGTCTAAAAGTTGATGGAGTAACAGCCCCTCCTTTACCTTGGACAGGAATATATATTAATAGAATTAGACAGGTAAAGAAGCAGGAGAAGCTGGTTAACTATTACAAACTGAGCACGTGGAAACAATTGCTAAGGAGTTAGAATCCAAAGTACATAGAGTAAGATTCTAGACAAGAACATAGATAGCTAAGTTAGACATCACAAAAGCCTTGTAATAAATTTCCTATAACCACTGTTCAGTCTAGCGTATCCTTTTGACCCATGCCAAATTCTAAGAACTTTAATAAACATCTATTCATCAATAAGACACTTGAAACTCTGTACATACAGCTATTTCTAATTGGCTGACTGATTGATGGCTCTCCTGGTCAAAATAACCTTTGTTCAACATAACTGAATTATTTGGAATTTCCTGCACTTTTCCTAGTTACCTCTGTATTGATTTTTTCTGCTTAACTGATCATGCCATGCACCTGTTCCTTTAATGTTATGTAATAATTTCTATAAAAATAAAGCTTAAATCAAACTCTGAGAGTTGGGTCAGACCCACAGAGGCTGGCTGTTCTCCAGAATCGAATCGGGTGTCTGACTCTTCATTTGTCACCTGCGCTGTCCATCCTTTGGGGACCCTGAGACCTGCTGAGGCTGGACCCTGGAAGACATGCATTTGTTTAAATTCATCACTTACGTGCAATAAAAGGAAAAAATCTTAGCAAACTGGAAATAGAAGTGGATCTCCTTAGCTTAATTCTCTATTAAAAACTTACAGCAGGTATCATATGTGATGGTGAATATTGAAATGTTCTTTTTGAGATGGGGAACAAAGCAAAGATGCCTATTGTCATGGCATCTGAGATCATATTGATGGCCCTGGCCAGTGCGGTAAGGCAGGAAAAAGCAACGAGAGGTTCAAAGACTGGAGAAGGAAAAATGAATGGGCTTTTATTTGCAGATGAAATACATTGGATACAGTGGATGACATCAAAGGATCTGCAGATACAATTATTGGATTTACAAAATCCAATAATTATATTGGATTTTTGGAAAGCCAATTAGATTGGATTGGAAAAATGAGAAATCTTGTTAGGTGCTGGAGCCAACTGCACTCCACATTCCTGCAACTAACAGATAAAAAAATGTAATCTTCAAAAAAAGCCACGTATCCATAACATAAAATACACGAAGCATTTAGAAATAAGATTTAGAAATAAAAAAACCAAAGACATGCCAGAGTTTTATGAGAAAGTTGTAAGTTTTACGGAAAAATAAATGGAAGGATTCATTGAATTTGTACTTTGGAAGATTCAATATTACAAAAGATTATAATGTTCCCTATTTGGTTTATAAATTCAGTGCAAGTCCACCAGTTTCAACCAAGTTTCTCCTTGCAACCCAATAAGAAAAGTGGAAGAACAACCCACGCACTCCCAAAAGGACAAATGGGGTGACTAGCACGATTAGCAGATAGCAAGGACTGTATAAAGCTTCAGAACAGGGAGAGATGGCCTGGGTCAGAAGAGAGCCAGAGCAGACCTGCAGATGGGGTAGACATCCCACAGCCCCGCACACATTGTACTTGGTCCATGCCCATCGTTAATTACACATGTATGAAAACTTGCTTCGTGTCAGTTTCCTTATTGGGACAATGGATTGTCCATATGAAAAAAAATGTGCATTTGGACTTTATCTCACTCCACACTCTCAAATCTGTTCCAAGAGAGGTCAAGATTTGACTGTAAATAATAGAACTCTAAAAATGTAGAAGATGCTGTGAGAATATCTTTATGACCTGGAAAAAGCAAGAAGTCCTTACACAAAACACAATGTGCATACTAGGGTTGCGGGCTAGGTGTCCGGTTGGGTGCACCAGGGGCAGCCACACACTGATGTTTCTCTCCATCTTTCTCCCTCCCTTCCCCTCTCTAGATATAAATAAATGAAATATTTATGCTTTTTAAAAAAAGATTTTATTTATTTACCTTTAGAGGGGAAGGGAAGGAGAGAAATATCAATGTATGGTTGCTTCTTATGTGTCCCCTGCTGGGAACTGGCCTGCAACCCAGGCATGTGCCCTGACTGGGAATCGAACCATGATCCTTTGGTTTGCAGGCCTGCTCTCAATCCACTGAGCTACACCAGCCAGGGCTGAAATCTTTAAAAACAAATAAAATGTCAGATAAATTTAAGTCGAGAGGCTTTCTACAAAATGCCTGACCAGTACTCTTCAAAAGTGTCAAAGTGATGAAAAATAAGTAAAGACTAAGAAAATCACAGAGGGTGGGGACAAGGATTTAAAATAACTAAATGCAATGTCGGATCTGATTTGATCCTGGACTAGAAAGATGAAAACATGGTGAAATACAGAGTCTGCTATCTAGTTAATAATAAGTGCCTATGCTAATGTTTTCCTTATGAGGTATGTGCCCTACAACCCCATGTATGATGTAAACACTAGGGGAAGCTGGGTGAAGGGTTTACAGAAATGCTCTATCCTTTTATTCTGTAATTCTGTAACTTTTCTGTATATCTAAAAATTTTCCACAGTAGCCCTGGCTGGTGTGGTTCAGTGAGCTGGGCATCGTTCTGCAAACTAAAAGGTCCGAGGTTCGATTGCCAGTCAGGGCACATGCCTGGGTTGCAGGCCAGGCCCCTGGCTGGGGGTGCTTGAGAGGCAACTAATAGATGTTTATCTTGCACATCAGTGTCTCTCTCCCTCTCTTTCGCCCTCTCTTCCCCTCTCTCTAAAAAATAAATAAAATCTTAAAACAAATATGAAGAACTACAAAATCAGTAGGAATAGAGTAAAATTTAAAAAATGGGTAAAAGACTTGAACAGGAATTTCACCCAAAGAAGAGACCAATAATCACATTAAAAGTTCCACCTCATGAATAATCAGAAAGTAAATCAAAACTAAAACTGGAGTTCACCCCCACCACTTTGGCACAATTCAAAATCTTGGACAATTCAAAGTGTTAGCAAGGACAAGGAGCAACCAAATGCTTCTATAGTGCTGGGTCGGTGTAAACTGCTGGAGCAACATGGGAAAGCAATTGATGTCATCTGGTGAAGCTGAGCATGTGGGTGTCCTATGACCATCCAGCCTCAGCCATGTTCACCAGCCTATACTTCTAAGAATGGTCATAAAATCTTAGGCTATAATAATCCCTTAGTAGAAGCAATCTTAAAAAAAATCATCACCGAAGGATATGTTCATTGATTTTAAAGAGAGAGAGAGAAACATCGATTGGTTGCCTCTCACTGATTGGTGCCTGATGGGGGATCAAACCCACAACCTAGGTATGTGCCCTGACTGGGAATTGAACCCACAACCTTTTGGTGTACGGTCGACACTGCAACCAACTAAGCCACCTGGCCAGGGCAGTGGAAACAATCTTAATGTCCACCAACTACATAATAGATAAATAACCAACGGTGTACTTATTCAAAGCAATATGGCAGTAAAAAGTGTATCCATTACACCCACCACCTCTAGCAGTGTTTTAGGCAGTGGAGATAGATACATAGCAAACAGGTTTTCAGGGCACCGGTCCACATGGAACTGACAGGTTATATGTGTGGGGAGGGGTGGTGAGCAGAACTGGGCCATAGCCCAACCAGTGGAGGAGCTGGAGTCTGGAGGCGTCCAGAAAGTAAAGTCTCAGTTTGGAGGAATCAGAGAAGGCTTCCCGGTGGGGGGGTTATGTTCACACTGGGCACTGATGGATGAACAGGAGTTTTCCAGTTCCACAAAGGAGCCAAGAATGGGATTCAGTCTGAGCGTGTGCAAAGATGCACAGGCTGAGTAGCGCAGAGCGCTCTCAGTCACTCTGGTTAGGAAGCCCCAACCCGGCTCAGGCCCTTTAAAGCCCCTCCCTGCCCGAGCCCCCGGCGCCCCAGCGGTGGCGCTCCCGCAGAATCAGGTGTCCACCGGGCTCCGCCCCGCCGTCTCGTCAGCGCCACGTCAGGAGCTGTCCGCGCCCCCGGTGCTGAACCAAGATGGCCGGCGGCGGAGGCCGGGCCCCGGCGTGAGCTGAGCGCCGGCGGCAGCCCTGGCCATGCACCAGCCCGGCGGCCTCTGAGCCCGACCTGACGGTGCCGGTCCGCCGGCGACCCCGGAGACATGTCTCTACTTTGCGTTGGAGGTAGGAGGCGAGGCTGCGGGGTGGGGACCGGTGTGGACCCGACTGGCTTCGGGGTCCGTGTGGATGCGGCTGGGCTCCTGGGCAGGCGGGGCGGTTGAGTAGAGCGCACGCGGCTGGACTTTTGAGGGGGTAGCCCTCGTAGACGCGACAGGGCGCCTGATCAGTGTAGACGTAGCCAGGCGCTCAGAGGGGTGCTGGCGGCAGCTGGTCGCGGTGCGTGGACTTGTCTGCACGCGGGGGTCCCCGTGGACAACAGCAGAAATCTGGAAACGGTCTAGACCGGGACATCGGTGTAGACCAGGTTGTTAGGGGGTCCGTGTGGGAGGGGCCGAGCCGCAGAGTTCGCATGAATCCTGTGGGGTACGTGGCAGGAGTCCTGCTCTGTGGGCTCGGCAGCGTGTCCTCGTGGATGCAGACTGAGTTCGGAATTCGAAGAGACGCACACGGAAGGGGTCTCCCAGCCCCGACCGTGTGAAACTTGGGGGCGGAGGCTCGGCCGCTAGGACAACAGCAGGCTAGTAACCCCCTAGCCCTGGACGTGGAGGATGACTGTGAAAGGGGCTGGGGACACCCCTCCCCACGTCCTGAGAGGTCTGTGGTTGGGGGTCTTAAAAGGCGTTTTTTCAGTTAACTCTTTAGCTTCCGGAGTTGGAAGCTGCGGGAATCGGCTGGAGGCCTCCCCGGCTCGCTGCCCCAGCCAGCGCTTCGAAACGCGCATTCGGCCTTCTCTGCAGGGAGCCGACCTCTTGGAGGTGCAGTGCCCCCTGCACACTTCCGCCCCTCCTCACCTCACCCACTTCGTGCCTAAGCGAGGGAGGGAGAAAAGGGTGGAGCTATTTTGGGGCCCGAACGCCATCTGTACCGAGGCCCACGCCCAGGCCTGTGCTCCGCATTGGGGTGGAGGAGGGAGAGACAAGGGAGGGGCATGGCCACTCTCACCTCCCGAGGCTGGGGTGGGAGAGCAGCCGGCCCGCCAGGACCCCGGCGTCCCGGGCACTCCTGCTGAGAAGTCAGGCTTTGGGAGGCCTTGGGCGGCAGGGGTGGTAGCGAACCGGGGTACCACGACTATAGAGGCCTCAACCTTGGGTTTTAAGGCCTGGGGTCCGCGTCCCTCACCCCGACTCCCTTCAAGAAGACTGGGGTGAGGGAAGAGGTGTGTCAGCCAAGTCGGAGACGTCAGGCTTCCAGTGGCCTTAGGCAGCGGTGGTGCGCGTGTGCGCGCGTGTGTCTCTGTGTGCCTCCGTGAGAGCGCGCGGAACCGCGGCCTCGGCCTGGACCTGGGTGGGCGGGCGGGCGCGGGAGCGCAAAACCGTCCGGCAGTCCCTCCCCCTCCCCCCTCCCCCTCTGCCGTTCCATTCACAAACCTAGCCCCGCCCTCCTGCCCCCCTCCGCGGGGCTTTCCGGTGCCGATGGCGCGGGACTGGGCGAGCGTGGACGCGGGTGCTTAAAGGGACAGGGGCCTCCTTTCCTTGAGCTCGTTCCCTTCGGGCGGGGCTGGTGGTGGCAGAGGGCCCACAAAATCAAAATCTACTCATCCAACTCTTGGCCTATGGAGTTCGGGGAGTGGAGAGGTGAAGGGGTCCCCACGCCGCGCCCCCCGCCAAGCAACTTACACGGACTAAGCCTAAGGGGAGGGGGAGGCGAAGATCTCAGTTCCCCACTGGCCTCTGCCCTCTTCTAAGTTGCCCAGCACTTGGAGGGAGGTGGGGTGGGGAGTGAGGAGGTTGGGAGGCTGGCACTGGAGGAGCGGACCTATGTGGGTGTTCTGACTGACTTTCTGCTCTTCCCACCCCCACCTCACCCTGCCTCACATCCTCGGAGTTCAGTTTTTTGAAGGTTTGCCTAGCTGGGGAGGAGGGGGAGAATCTCACCCTTCACTCTGACGCAAACAGGAGGCTGGGATGTGGGGGTGGTGTGAAGGGGATGCAGTAAGAAGGGTGAGGCTTTCCTGAAACGGACACCTGGGGGAAGAACCGTGTTGGATGATTCTGTCATCAGGGGGTGAAGGGGGTGTCTCTGGGAGGGGCAAGGCTAGGGGTGAGGTGGAGTGGGCAAAACCCTAAGGGGTAAGGGAAGCAGTATGAATGCTGGGAGAGGCTGAGGGGGAAACTGGGAGAAGTGGGAAGAGGGAGAAATGCTAGGAGGGGTGGGGGTGACCCAGTGAAGGCAGGATGGTGGAGGGGAAGAATAGCAGAGGAGAGGAGGCAGGGCAGCAGTGGAGCTGGGCTGAGAGGGCTTTCCATGGATCTGAGCTTATCTTTGGGGTTGAGGAAATTCCTCAACCAGGGGCCTAGCCCTGTGTACCCACACATGCACACACATGGGCTGGCACCTTCTAGCCAGACTTGCCCTGTGTGGTCAGAAATGCTCAGGACCCACCAAGGCTACACGAAATGACACTCCTGTGACTGCACACATGGACCAATGTGTGTGTTCATATATGAATACATATGTATATTCAGGGCACAGTCTGCTGCCACAGACATGGTCCCGGTATGTGTGTGTCTGTACATACATGTACACACATCTATCCACATGAGTTTGATGTTTGTTCACAATATCCATGTCTCATGAAAATCTGCTTATGGCCTAACATGCAAGTGTATGCTCATATATACATTTTAGGGTCCCAAATCTATAAGGAACATATATGTATACTCATAAGCACGTGCCAAGCTATGTGCACACATATGAAAACACTAGATTGGACACTCAAAGCAGCCCCTTTGAACAGGTGAATGATGACACATACAGGCACATGCCTATGTATATAACTTCACACAAGTGTGTACACCCATGCAAGTAAATAAACACACATGCCATAATACTGAATCACACACATACACCAATGTATGTTTCTACCTAACACATCACCTGCAAGTCCACAGGTACCTCATACATATGCAGTTCCATATGCAGTCACACCCTACTCCCCACCACATATGTACAGACCCTCACCTGCATTGGGATACGGCACATATCCTTAAAAAACACACATGCACAGCCATGTACGCACACTTGCCTGCCCTTCTAACACAAGCAAATACACATACAAACACACATAAATGCAAGCTCACCTCACACCAACACATGGGGGGCTACCTTGTATAGGCCTTGCCTTTACCCCTTCTCATTTCATTATTTATGTGGAGTCCCACTGCTGCGTACCCCTGCCTCTAATTCATTTGCTAGGTCTTAGCAGAGTCCTAAGGCTGCTACTACCAAGAACTTCACCTGGTTCCTTCATGCAATCATTCATACATTTACTCAGCAAGCATGAATTCAGCACCTACTATGTGCCAGACACTGTTTCTGGTACCCAGCCCTACTCCTAGACTCATGTTGGTGCGGTCAGAATGGGAATGAGAAGGAAGGGCTTAGGGAGCCTGCGAGGGGATCACCCAGGGATTTTTTCCTCTGGGAAGCCTGCCCTGACATCACCACCACCATTTGTCTGGTCTCAGAAGATGAGGGAAGAGGTAAGAAGAAGGGAGAAACAACATGGGCAAAACTGTGGTAGAGTGGTTTCAGTTCTAGACCTTCCTATGTACCTCCTGGCATTTGCCAGGCCATTCAGTGTTTTTTAAGTCTCCATAAATATTTCATGAATTAATTTTGTGTAAAATTAGCAAATGTGTTGAGGATGCATTTGCCTTACAACTAATAATAAATCAATCAAAAGCACCACTATCCAGCATTTTACAAGCAATATTTAGGACTTTTATGCTCATTGCCCTATTTAAATCTCAGAACAGCCATTTTACAGATGAGGAAAACTGAGGCTCAGGGAGGGCCAGTGACTTGCCTAGTGCCACAGAGTCAGAGTTGCAGCTTCCTGAGCCTACTGGGAGTGGAGGTTAAAGATTGAGCCTCCTCTCAGCCTCCAAGAATCTGTGAGACACCCACGCCCCTTCCATGGGGTGAAAATCTGTCTTGGAATTGCTTTCTGTCTTCATCCTCTCAGTAAAAAGACATGTCATGATCTCCCCATTTATAATGGCTGTTCTCCTGCCGCTCTCCCAAAAGTCCTTCACAAATCCCTCTGCCCCTAAATGCCCCATTTCTGATACCACCCATGCAGGAGGGGTGTGCATCTGTGTCTTTGCTGTCACCATCCTCAGAAGATGCCCTTCAGGATTGGCTCTGATTCATCTTCAGGGCTGTAATCTTATCTGCTCCCAGAACCTGCACCTCACTCTTCCCCCACATACAACGGGCTTCCTCTGTGAGGTGCCAACCAGGACATTCTGAGTCCAGCATGCCTGGGTTTGAATCACTAAATCCACCACTTCCTGGCAAGTCCCATACCCTCTTCACTCTTCAATGTGCCCATCTGTAGATTGGGCACACTAATAGCTCCTACTGCCTAGGATTCCTGGAACTCTCCAATGAAGTGAAGTACACAGAGCCATTGCCACAATGCTGTGGAAAGGTTTAAAAGTGTGAGCCAAGACAAAAAAAAATGATGCTGTTTTTATTAATGGGACCTAAAAGCTTTCTTGAAGGGGCCCCATGAGTGTAAGACGTTTCCTGAGCGCTAATTGCATTCTCAGGGCTGTGGAGGGCTCAGGAGTACACAGGTTGCAAAAGAGGTGCCAAGTTCTTCAGAAGTACACAGGACGGCGAATTCAGAACCATGGACAGCGCAGGGAGGCTACCTTCAACTGGGTGAACGAACAGCTTGGGAGGTGGAGAGACGAATGGTTCAGCACCGTGGACAGTGAAGTGGGGGCGCTCCAGGAATTTCGAAACTTGGGCAGCGCTGTCCAAGTCCGAAACTTGAGTCGCTGTCACTACAGAGATATGGGGAGAAATGACGTCATTTCCTTACTTAACACTATTTAATGAGCACCTGCTACATAGGCCAGGCCTAGTTCTGATACCTGGTAAACAAGAGACAGAAATCCCTGTCAAGATTCCTGATGCGTTTTTTACATCGGAGATTTTGGCTTGTTTCTGTCTTTGGTAGGTGAAGGGTTCTCTTTCCCAGATGCCAAACCAGTGGGGCCAGTGTCTTTATCACAAAGCTCATGTCCGCCATCAACATCACATATGAAACTGCCAAACGTTCCAGAATTTATTTCAGAATTCTCTAGGCTTCCCCCCTCACCCTTTGTAACGACTTCTGACACCTGGTAAGCATATCCTGTAGGGGAGGAGACATTGAGCCGCTTCTCTTCAGGGTAGGAATCCTCTACTTCCCACCCCCACCTCCAGGCCTGGCAGGTCATAGACCAAGTACCCCAACATCGGAATCGACCTCAGAATCCAGAGCCTTCCAGGCCAGGGGCACATTTAAAATCCAACCAAATAAAAGTAGCAGTGAGCCCTGGCTGGTGTGGCTCGGTGGACTGAGCACTGGCCTACGAACCAAAGGGTCACCAGTTTGATTCCCAATCAGGACACATGCCTGGGTTGCAGGACAAGTCCCCAGTTGGGGGTATATGAGAGGCAACTACACATCGATGTTTCTCTCCCTCTCTTTTTTTCTCCCTTACCCTCTCTCTAAAAATAAATAAAAATATCTTAAAAAGTAGTAATGCTACTATTAATAGTAGTAGTAATAATGATAGTATAGTAATGCTGATCCTAATACTGATGAAGAAGAAAGGGGAGAGGGAGGAAGAGAAGGGAAGACCAGAAGAGGAGGAAGAGAACCGCTTGCTCTACCTCTCCCCATTTCCCAGATGGAGAAACCGAGGTCCAAGGCCTGGCAGCGCCTATGAGGGGAGCCCTGCTCCTGACTCCACTGATTCTGCCGTAGCCATCGTCCGTCTGTGCAACCACATCAATCAGTCAGTGCTGACGGGCCCCCCGGGAGGGCGGCGCTGCTGACCGGGCCCGACAACGCGAATCCCGCGGCGTCGCTCACCGGCTAGTCGGAGGGGCGGGCAGTGGGCCCCGGCCTGAGCCGCCACTCCCGGCGGCCCAGCTGCCCACGCCCTCCGCGCCCTCGTTATAAATAGCCTCTTGCGTGTGACCAGGAGCTGGCGGGGCAGGGGCGGCGCTTCCGCCCCGGTGACCCCATTGCCCGGAGAAGGCGGGGAAGGTAGCGGGAGCGTACGTGACGGTGATGGCGGCGCAGGCGACAATGACTTGGGATCATTTGCCGAGGGAAAGACATTTGCTGACGGGAAGGCAGTGGGGTGGGGGGAAGGAGGGAGAGAAGGAGACTTGATTCTTTCCGTGAGCCCGCCCGGCCGCTCCCGAAGCCCCGCCCCTCCAAGCTCCTCCCACTTCCGGTGTGCTCCCCGCCCCCGCGCTTCGGCTCGGGTTCCCCGAGCCCCTTCCCTTAGTCCCCTCCCTCCTCCCGCTATCCGGCGCCCTGCCGTGAGCTCCCTCCCCCGGGAGTTGTCCCCACTCTAAGGCCCCTTCCCTCACCCCTCTTTCCTGTTTGAGCCCCCTCTCCCACCCTGAGTCCCCCCTCCTTTCTCTGAGTCCCCAGGAAGAACATAAATTGGTATCGTTACCCTAGACTCCCTGAAGGGGCCTGGAGGCCTGAGCCTGGCCTCTGCCGTGGGAGCTGGTACCTCCAGCAGTCTCCCACTGCTGTGGACCCCAGCCAAGCCCATTGCCCTCTGGTCCTCAGAGGCCTGGGGAGCAGGAAAGTGGGTAGGGGAAAGGAGTGGGAGTGGGCACAAGAGAGACAGAGACAAAGGCAGAAGGGGAGGAAGGAGACGGAAAGACAATGACAGGAGTAGAGAGAAACGGCACGGAGGAGCCAGACGAGGAGAGGCGCCAAGCACCCCAAACCCCGCCCAGACCCCCTCAGGAGAGTATGGAGGACAGACTCTGGACGAGTGGCCTCTCTGAGCCCTGTCTTGATATGTAGAAAGGAGACACAGTGGGAGCTGCAGGGTGGAGCATGGGTCAGGTGAGGCTAGACCCTAGTCAGCCCCCCTCCATCCCCCAGGGCCTCTCACCTACCCGCCTCAGCTTCCTCTGTACAACTCTTCTTTCCTGGTTCTGCCAGTTCTCTCCCCCTGTCTGCCATCCCTAGCCATCCCTAGCATGTCTTTCTCCTTCTGTCTTTCTCCTTCTGTCTCTGCGTCTCTTTGTCTGATTTTTTAAAAATTTTATTTATTTATCTTTAGAAGGGAAGGGAAGGAGAGCAACATCAATGTACGGTTGCTTCTGGTGCATCCCCTGCTGGGAACTGGCCTGCAACCCAGGCATGTACCCTGACGGGGAATCGAACCGCAATCTTTTGGTTCACAGGCCTGGGCTCAATCCACTGAGCTACACCAGCCAGGGCCTGACTTTCTTGACTTGTTATCTCCACCCCCTTCTTCCTCCTTTTCCTCTCCTCCCCCTGTAGGTCCCTCTGTGTGTGCCTTTCTCAGCCCCTGTCTGTGTCTCCCCCACCATCCTCCCTCCCCTCTCTGCTCCTGCACCCCCTCCCTTCACAGTCATCAGGCAAGCTGGAACTCCCCCAAGGAGGGAGGACTAGAGCTCCTGGTGCACACAGTCCTAAGGACCCCGAGCTTCTCTCAGCCCCAGGGTGGAGGAGCTGGGTAAAAGAAGAGGGCCATGACAGAAAATACAGGAGCATATAGAAGGAGACAGACAGACAGACAGACACACACACACACACACACACACAGAGCCAGGTCTAGAAGAGCAGGGAGAGACAGAAATGCCATGAAACAGAGATGGAAGCTTAGAGTGGAGAGTTCACTTGCCTAGGGTCACACAGCGTGGTAAACTGAACCTGACTCCACTGGACTCCACCTCTCCCAACGCCCAGCCAAGAGCTCCCTGGTCACTTCACCTCCAAACCCAAACCCAGGTGGGGGTATGATGCCCAATCATTGGCATTTAAAGTCTGGGTCTTTCAGAGGCATAAGGAGGCGCTCATTCCCACTCTCCCTCTGCCACTCTGGGGAGTTCACTCAGTTCTTCTGCAAGTCAATGCCACTGCTGCACAGCACCCCTACCCCCAAACAGGAACGAGCAATACTGACAAGTATTTAGGACCACCCCACTGCCCTCCTTTCATGGGAATTCTCTCTTCACTGGCTCCATTCAGCTGCTTTTGCATGGCAGAAATTCAAGTGATGGGGACAGAGATATAAGCAAGATGGGAGCCTGTGGCATTTGCTCAGAAAAAGTCCAAACTTCACTCTCAAAAGCAAAGAAATAAACCACAATTCTGTTACTAAAAATTTGTCCTCTAAGTTGCTTACACACACTCTTCAGAACATACTGAAAAACACCGAGGCCTACAGAGGGTGTGGAATGCTACTGTTTGTGTAGGAAATAAAATAACGCGCCTGTGCCCCTGACTGCCAAGGCCAGGCTCTCTGTCTAATACCTGGTGACACTGGGTACACTTGGGAGGCAGAATGAGGGCTAGCATAGAAAGAACCTTATTCTCACTGTAAAATTTGGGGGTTAGTTTGATTTTGTAAAATGTGTGTGTATTGCCTACTCAAAAAAAACATTCGTTTGCAAATTTAAAGGTAGCAGAAACTGCAAAGGAGGAGAGAGGCTCAGTTCGGTAACAGATTTTAGGTGGAGGTGGAGCGTGAACAGTGGAGAAAGATGTTGGGGGCAGCTGCAGGGGGCAAGAGATATTGAAAGTGAGTTTACTATCCTTCAAGAAAAGCCAGGGAAGAGGGAAATTGTTTTAAATCATTAGGGCCATGGGTTATGTGAAATCTGAAGAGGCTGGACCACACAGGACCCTGGCATACATTTGGGTTGCACCTTTCACAGGTAAGTGGGACTGGACAGCTCTAACAATCTCCTGGCCAGGACCAGGATGTCCTGTTCTACCTCCTCTAGTCCTCTTTGCATATTGGGCCCCAAACCTGGGGAGTAGGACAGGCTGAACTGGACAATTGGGGGAGAAATCCTGCTAGCTTGGCAGGGGGATGGGGTCACTGGAGACTGTCTCTCCTCTCTCCCTCCTTCCCTTCTCCCCTCCTCCCCAACTGTCCTCCCTCTGTGGCAATCCTGGAGGCCTTCCTGTAAGAGGCCTCTTCTGCCACCTGCCCAGCTCCTTTTTTTAAATCTTGTTCAATTAAGGGTAAAGGCATAGCTGGAGGGGAGAAGCTTTAGGGGGATTTGATATGGAGGGAGGAGGGACATGGACTATTCCCAGAGTCCAGATTCCTTCCACCCATAGATCTGCCTCTGCTCACCTGTCTGATGGCTGCTCTCTCTCCCTCCCATCCCTGCCTCCCTTCTCTCCTTATATTTCCTCCTCTCCTTGTCTCATTGTCTCTGTCTCTAATTTTGCCTCTGTCTTTATCTTCTTTTTATTTTTCCTGTTTGGTTTCTGTATCTATCTCTTTTGCTTTCTACCCTTGCCGCTGTCTTCTCTCTGTTTCCGTGTCTCTCTCCTCTCTGTCGTTCTTGCTCTGTCTCTATTTTGATGTCTGTCTGTCTCTCTCTCTTCCTCTCCCTCTGTCTCTCTTCTCCCCGCCTCTCTCCCCATTTCCCTTCCCTATCTCTGTCTCTCTCCACAGTCAAAAAAGCCAAGTTTGATGGTGCCCAAGGTAAGTGGCCTCTATACCTGTCCTGTCCTATGTTGTCTGTTTGTCTGTCCATCTCTTGAAGAGACAAGGAAGGGGGATCTAAGCCATTGGTGGGGGACTTGGGCTGTGTGTCTGCTAATCATGATAAAGAATGTCAGACAGGGCCTGTGGTCCCAGCAATCGCTTCAGCTGTCCTCTGAAAACCCCTCGGTGGGTGGGGCTCACCCTGAGCCAATGGCCCTTCCCAGGATCATAAGAGATAGGGTGGGGACTCTTAGATCAGGTTCCAGGTGGGGAAAGTGAGGCTCATAGAGGTGTTAGAGTTTCTTATAGTCACTTTTGTTCCCATGTGGGACCTCAGTTTTCCCAGCTAAAAACCAAGGCTGTTGGACATAGTTATTTCTAAGCAGCAGGATTAAGCATCCCCAAATCCCACGTCTCCCTGCACCAAGGCCCCGTCCTTGTGCTCTAAGGGATTGGTCATAGGGGGAACCTTGGGGACTGGGAGTGGAAGGGACACACAGAAGCAGAGCATCGTGTTGGCCCTGGGCCCCCCTGCCCACTGCCGGGCACGCACAGCACCTGGGGATCACAGCAGGCTGACTAGAGCTTGGGAAGGGGCACCAGGGGTGCCTGAGCCGCCGCACTAACCCTGCTCTCACCACCACAGAGAAATTCAACACATATGTGACCCTGAAGGTGCAGAATGTCAAGAGCACGACCATCGCTGTGCGGGGCAGCCAGCCCAGCTGGGAACAGGATTTCATGTTGTGAGTCTGACTGGTCCTGCGCAGCCTCCCCACTGAGACCTGGTCCCATTGGGCAGAGCCAAATATTTGGGTGTTGTCTGGGACTTCTGTTCCCCTTCCCTCTGTCCCATGTCTACCCATCAGCTTTGCCTCCAAAGCACTTCCCAAACCCAGTAACTTCTCTTTATCTCTGATGCCACCAGCCAAGTCTCCAGTGCCACCAGCCTCCACCCGGGCCTCCTGCTGCATGTGCCTCTCACAATCTGTTCTTCTCCAGGCAGCCAGAGGGATATTTTTAAAACTGCAAATCACCTCCTTTCATTCTGCAAGTTTGCCTGTGGCTCATCAACCTCAGAACAAAAATCGCATGCCTTCCCATAGCCCTGAAGAGGCCTGGCCCCTATGACTTCCCACCAGTATCTCCCTCCATCTTTCCTGGCTCACCTGCCCCAGCCACAGCCACCACTGCAGGGTTCCTCCAACATGGCCAGTTTGTTCCTGCCCCAGGACCTTTGCACTTCCTTTTCTCCCGCCTCCTTGCCCCTCCCAGCTGGCTCCTTCTTATCCTTCCTGTCTCAGCTGTGTCCCCTCCTTGACCACTACTGCCAGGCTGCAATCGAAGAGTCATTTCAGGCCTTGCTACCAATTGTTATTTTGGTCAAATTTATGTGAATTTTGGACATATTTATGGCCCCTGAACCCAGACTGTGAGCTCTAGGAGGGTAGGGCCTGGTGGGTCTCTGTCGCTACTCTCACCGCCACACCACGCACAGGGCCTGACACTCAATGCATATTTGCCTAGTCATTGAATGCATTCATGACCTGGACCCTCCTCTCGACCTGGAGCCTTTCAGGCCCTCCTATTACATCCCACCTGCTCTGATGATGGGAACATGTGCCATGCTCTCTGCTAAGGCTTTGATTACCTCAGTTTGCCTACAACACTGGGAAGGAGGACACTACTGTAATCCTCATTTTACAGATGAGGAAACAGAGGACCAGAGAGGCTAAGCCACCTGCTCAGTGTCACGTAGCCTCTACCTGGAAGAGCGAGGATTTGGTCCCAAGCAGCCCTCCACCCCTGAGCAGAGCCTGGCTGGTGGCTGTCAGACCTGGAAGCTGTGAGAGAACCCAGTTAGGGTCCTGGAGCAGAGGAGCATATGGGGAAGGAAGGGAGGAGCCGGCCTTACAATTCTGAGGAAGATGTAAAGTGGGGAGGGACAAGGTGGTCCCCAGCTCCCTGAAAACAAGTAACTGAATGACTAGGTTACAGCCAACATATATGTTCAAGAGCATTCCTTAAGATAAGTCTTCAGCAAATTGGTAAATTCAGTGAATTGGACATTCACCAAGGTTTCCCCCCAAATCTGCCTATGTGTAGTGTGGGGCCTGCCGGGAAAGTGCTCAGGGATAGGATCATTCACATGTTCAGGGATGTCCCCATGCGATTGGACAGAGACGACACTCGGAAGGATGGAGGCACCCCAGATGCCCTTATCCTGGGATAACAGGGCCATGAAGGGTATTTGGGCATCTTTCTCACTTAGCCATCATTCTCGAGGTTTGAGGGGTTGAGGAGGCACCAGGCAAGTTGAGGTGTAGGAGGTGTGTGATATCTGTCCCAGCCCTTCCATCCCAGCTTGGAGCCCTTGTTCCGCTGTGAGACCCTGAGCATGTGACGTAGCCCTTTGGCCTCAGTTCTCCATCTCAGTTCTGTTAAACATGAATCACTGTGTTACTGTCCTGGCTAGGGCTCACCCAGGCCAGGGTTTGAATTTCAGTTGGCTGTATGTCCCAAGGTGAATGAACTGACTTTTCTGAGTCTCCATTCTCTCACTCCCGCCCCCTCCTCTCTCTCCTCAGTGAGATTAACCGCCTAGATTTAGGGCTGACAGTGGAGGTGTGGAACAAGGGCCTTATCTGGGACACCATGGTGGGCACCGTGTGGATCCCCCTGCGGACCATCCGCCAGTCCAATGAAGTGAGTGGTGGGCTGAGGGTTGGGGAGCAGTGCCTGGGAGGGGCTCCGAGGCCAGTGGCTAAACAAGATGGACATCAACCTCCACCCCTTGACAATGTTCATGTAGATGTCTGGGGCTGCAGTTGCAGCTCCAAAGTCACCAGGGCCTGAACTCTTTCCATCTTATTTGCCCTTCCTTTCATGCACTTCCACCTCATGGCCTAGGATGGCTGCTGGAGAGCCACCATTATATTTGCATTTCCACCAGGGAAGGGAAAGGTGGCAAGGAATGGAGTTTACCCTCCAAGTTAAAATGCCAAACCTTGGCATTTTACCCACATCCCATTGGCCAGAACTTAGTCATGTGACCCCACTAGCTGCAAAGGAGTCTGGGAAGTGTAGTCTTATGTTGCATAGCCCTGGATCCAGCTAAAAATGTATTCCTATGGAAGAGAGGGGAAGGGATATTGTGAACAATTAGCACTTTGTGCAAGAGGAAGGCCACACAAGCCCTGAAGGTACTAGACAATCCTGGCCTCTCGACCTTAAGTTTTTCCTCCTCCATTTCATTCCCCCATGCTGAGCCCAGCAGCATCTTATTACCTCAAGACCCTTTCCTACCCTTTCTCTACATCTCCCTTGGGAGTCCTTCTTGATGGCACCTGCTCACATTGCCAGCCTTATCTCCCTCTACACCCCAACCTCCACCCCTTACAGGCCCCAAGAAAGCCCTCTGAATCTTTGCATAAGCTGTTTCCTCGGCTTCCAGTGTCCCTCCCATCACCTTCTAAGCTCAGCTCCCATGTCTTATCCTCTGGGAAGCCCTTCATAACTACCCCCTGGATACATGCAGAGGATCCTGGGCTCCTACTTTCACCCCTACCAGCCTTTCCCTGGGGCTGTGGAAAGCAAATTCCACAGAACATCCTTCTCATTTAAGATAAAGAAACTGAAGTTCAGAGTGGACCCCACCAGCGGAATGGCTTATGTCCCCTGAACCCAGGGGCACTGGTTCATGCACTTGGGGAAGGATTTCCTTACTGGATTGTGGGAGCACCAGGGCCTTTATATGAAGCTAGGGCTGCACAACTGCTATCATGGATGAGGAGTAGTTGTGTAACTACCCCTGCTGACTCCACAGGGCCCTCTCTCTGGATCTTTGACTCCGGGTTCCCTGGACAAGTCCCCATGTTGCCCTGCACTGGGCTCTTCCTTCTGAGTCTCAGTTTCCTCATCTGTAAAGTGGGGGTGTGGCCTTGGCTTTTGGGGTAGGGATGAGACGGGATGAGGGAGACAACTTGTGTTAACAGACACCTGATCCACCTCACCAGATCTGGAACCTGACCCCTGTCTTCATTGCTCCCTATACCCAGGAGGGTCCTGGAGAGTGGCTGACTCTGGATTCCCAGGTCATCATGGCAGACAGTGAAATCTGTGGCACCAAGGACCCCACCTTCCACCGCATCCTCCTTGACACTCGCTTTGAGCTGCCCCTAGGTAAGTTTGGGGGGTGCAGGACCCTCACCCAGTCAGGATAATGGTCAGGCCTGGGTAGGCCATACAAACCTCATTGTGAGTGCAAGGTTTCCTCTCCCCAGAAGAGAGGATTTTCTGGGTCTCAGCGAGTCAGATGAGGTGTGCACCTGCTGTGTACAGGTCACCAGGGGGAAGCAAATGCTTCTTGATCCGTGGAACAGAGGTCTGAGCTGCCCTGGCTGGTCCTTGGTGAGAGATTTGGCTTCAGGAGTGAGCTGGGGATAGAAAAGAGACAGAGACAGACAGAGACAGCAGAGATAAACAAAGGCAGAGACACAAAGAGGCCTTTCCACCTTTCCTGGAAGCAGCTTGGTTCTCCCACATCATCCCTCCAAGACTCATGGCTCCCCCACCGTTGTAATGCCAGGGTACATCCTCTCTCCCGTTCCCCATCCATCCCCAAGGCAGTGCTGGGGCAGGGTGGGACCGGGCTGCCACCCTGTCCCCAGACCCACTGGATACCAGCCCTGTAGGCCTTCAGGATACACGGGGTGTGTGCTGAGGGGACGGCAGCGGCTTTCAGGCTCACAGCCAGGACTCCCCTTCCAGACATTCCTGAGGAGGAGGCCCGTTACTGGGCCAAGAAGCTGGAGCAGCTGAATGCCATGCGGGACCAGGATGAGGTGAGTATTGACATGGGGGGCTCTTTCCTTCTTGCGTCTGTCTCTCTTCATCTCCCTGTGTCCTCTGCTCTCTGTCTCCCTGCTTGTCTTTCCCTGTATCCGTGTCGCTCACTCTTTATAACCCGACTGAATCGGTGACTCCCGTGATCCCGTTTCCAAGCAGGATGTCAGCCAGGAACAGTCTACTGACAATATGATGGTGATTTCAATTGACTCAAGTTCTGCATTTGCCAAATACCCACAAGCACATACAGGGGCCCCGAAGCGGTCTCACACCCCCTCTCTGCCCCACAGCCCTTAATTCCTCGAGTCACACTTTCAGACTTTCTTAAAACTTCTCATCCCCCAGAAGCCTCAGCCCCTGAACCTCCACTCTTCCGTGCCGCCCCTTCCTCATCTTCTTGGCTCTGTATCCCCACAGTGCAAAGACTCCCTGTGGCCCAGAGGACAGTCTTTAAAAGGTGAGGGCAGGGAAGGAATAGCAGACAAGAGTACAATGTTCTTTAGTGAGAGGTGGCGGGCAAGGGGGCAGTACACACGTGTGAGTAATTTTTGCCCAACCTCGTTTCTCTGTCTGTCCCTCTCTCTATCCTGTCTCCCTTGCCTCTGTTTCATGTGTGTCTCTTTTTCTTTTTTCTGTATCGGTGTCTCCCTGCCTCTCTGTATGTATCTCTCTCTGTCTGTGCACATCTGTATCTTTCTCCTCCAGAGGGAGAGGGTTGGAGAGGCACGGGAGAGGCAGGATGGGACACAGCAGAACACCATCCCAGTCCCCTGGCCCTTGGCCTCTCTGAGACGTGCCCTCTTTCCTTCCCTCCCCTCAGTATTCATTCCAAGATGAACAAGACAAGCCTCTCCCTGTCCCCAGCAACCAGTGTTGTAAGTACCTCTCCATCCCTTCCTTGGCCTCTGTCCCCCACCCCTGGGTGTTGTGTGTAACAGGCCAACTCCTCTCCAGAGGTACGGGTCCTAAGGGTGGGCAGTTAATGCTCACAGTGTGGTGGAAAGAAGAAGAGATCTGGGACTTGGGTTTGAGCTCTGCCCTCCTCTGCGGCTGCAGGCGGCCAGTGTCCCTCTCTGGTCCTTGGAGTCACTCTCTTTGGAACCATGCATCTGACAGCCCTTCACTTTGAGGGGTTCCAGAACATCTAGAGGCTTAAAAACATTTTGCAGACACTTTAATCCTGTTCATTGAACCCAGATGAGGGGCTCTTTCACGTGGCCAGCACAGGCCCCCAAGCAGCCCACAGCCAGAGGGAGCAGACGGTTACTGACGGTCCTGCCGACACACGTAAAATAGGTGCACGGACGATGGACAAAGGCTGTTTCATTCACCTGTTTTCTTAGATGAAGAAACTGAGGCCCAGGAGGAGAAGCAACTTGCCCAAGGTCACACACGCGGCAGGAGGCAAAGCCAGGATTTGAACTAGGTCTGAGGGACTCTTTCCACTGCACTGTGTCTGTTTTTGCTGATGACGATCGTGTTCCTCTGCCTACTGCCCCTCCATCCAGGCTGGGGTTGTCAAGATTGTTTATGTTCCTTGGCCCTGTGGATACTCAGAGGCACCCAGACGAGTTCTCCATGGGCCAAGGACATGTTTCTTTCCCAAAAGTTCCTCCTGAGTCCTCTGGAGTGGGGAGGAAGTGACAGATCATAGAGTCCCAGGGTAGAACCCGAACCCATGACGCTTTGTCTCCATCCCGCACTTCGACTTCTTTCTCCAGTTCCATCTTCTTCCTTATCGCCCTTTTCTCCCTTCCCTCCTCTCTCACTGTCTCCCCGTACCTCTTTCTCACACCCCCATATGCCCAGGATGGTGATGGTATGGCCCAGTGTGGGGACCCTGTTCTATCCTAACTTGGGGTATGTCACTGAGAAAGTCTCTTGACTTCCTTGCCTGGGGGGAAGCCATCCCTTACCAGAAGGAATTATGAGTCCCCTACCCCCATGAATGGGCTCCTTGAAGGTTGTGGTGAGGGAAGGGCCAGACAAGGTGGAAGCAGGAGCAGATGACGGAGTACCTGGTGGATTGAAATGAAGAGTGGGTTCAGTTTGGAAATGGAGACTCACCTCCCAGCATTCACCTCCAAGTCCTCTTAGGAACATTCATGGAGGGGTCAGCCAAGGCTCGAGGGAGTCAGGTTTCTGGTCCGAGGCATTTCCCACAATGCCAGGCACTGGGAACGAGGAAGGGAGATGTGGTTCTCTTCCTGGCCCTGAAGCTCGGAGGCTGTGTGACTTGAGGCCGCTCATCCCACCTCTCTGAGCCCTATTTCTTCACCTGTACGATGAGCAGGATGAGAAAAACCCACCCAACAGGGGTGTTTCAAAATTTAGGATTTCCAATTCAATATTTTTTTTCTCACACACAAGATAGGGGAGGGAAGGAGAGGGGTGTGCTGCCCCTAGACTTCTGAGCTGGAAAACCCTGGTCCTAAATGCCCTTTTCGTTACCTCCTGGCTGAGCCTGTGGCCTCCTCAAAAAACAGATATTCTGCCTTTCTCCCAAGGTGGTGAGTGAAGGCATGACAAATGTCAGTGGTCAAAGTGATACTTGGGGAAAGATCCTCAGGTTAGGAGGCGACTGGGGTCCTGGGCGGGAGGAGATGGGGAGAATGAGGAGGACGGCAGAGCCCCCCTCCTTGTGCCCCGCCGCCTGCTCCCTTTTATTATCTCTGCCCCTTCTCTTTGTAGGCAACTGGAATTATTTTGGCTGGGGTGAGCAGCAGAGTAAGTACTCAGCCTGACATCCTGGGAGGCCACGGGGAGGGGGTGCCTCGGCAACCCCACCTCCCCACCGTGCAGGGAAGCGAGGAGCCTGCGGCTGGCACACTGGGGCCAGACAGACAGCAAGGCTCCTTCTTTGCCCTCCTGCCCCAACCATTAACATCTGTCTTGGGGGTCCTGCTCTGTCTGGTGGGGAGTGGGCACTGCCACTGGGGTGGAAGGGTTCAGCCGGAAGGCCTGGGCATTTAGACGGGAGACCTGCCTGTCTCCAGCTGGGCACTGTGACCCCTGTCCCCCCACTCCCCACGTATAACCTCATTTCCTCTCCTGTGACTTCTCCCTCTTTTCGTCTTCCCATCTTCCTCCTCCACCTGGAAAAGTCACTCTGATGGTGGGGGGTGGGGGAGAAAGAGGGTCTCAGAGCAGAGAGCAAGGGTCCCCAGGTGGGTATCATTTCCGAGACCTCCCTCCAAAGCTCCCTCACACACATCTCCCTCCGATTTGCCCCCAGGGGAGGGAGACAAGCCATCCCCCCAATTTGGATACCCATTTCTCTCCCTAAGGAAGAGTTCTCTTCTTCCCATGTCCTTCCTCCTCCAGAGAAATCCAGTTCTTTGTTCTGTATATGAATGTACGTCCTCTCTCCTCCACCAGCTGGGAGCTCCTCCACCCTGACCCTCCCTGTGGTGGACAAACTCCACTCCCTGCTCCCTCTAGGACCAGGGAAACTGTTTACATGTACTTTGATCCAAACAAGTTGTCAAAAACAAGTCGGTCAGAAAGCCACTTGACCAGAATAGACATTAGGCAGAAAAGATTTGGTAACAACCAGTTTGCCACAAGCAAACAATACCATCAAAAACAGAGATGTTTTGGGTTAAAACCAATTTGGCTAAAGCTGATAAGTAGGCAAAGAGCACAGAGCACTGGGCCAAAAGCAGAGCCTTTTATGGAGACACAAGTGTTTGAAAGGTGGAAGCAGCAATTTGGTAAAAAGCAGAGTCTGGGTGAAAACAAAAAGAATTACATTCAAAAGCCATTTGCCTCTCAAAAACAGACAATTTGTCAGAAAAAAAAATTGGGTGAACATGGACACAGCCTCCTGTGACTTGGTTGAAAACATCTTGGCTTGGTCAAGAACAATTTGGTAAAGAGAAAGCCAATTTGGCCAAAGACCCAGATAATTGCCTAGAAAACCAATTGGTCAGAGGGGCAATTTGGTGACATTGACCAGTTTTCCAGAGCTTCGAGGGGGATCGTCCAGGTTTCAGATGCCCCAGCTCAGGCTTTTACAGGATCACAGTTTCACCCTGAACCCCGCCACCCTGGGCCGTGGAAACTGGCCTCCGCCTCTGCCTCTAACGTCAGCGCAGACAGCGCCTGTGCAGCAGTGGGGACGGGGTGCAGAGCTCAGAGGTCACAGCAGCCCAAGTTCAGTGAGAAACTGGGAATCCACAGATGCCTGGGTAGGGCCAGCTTGGCCAGCTGGAAACTAATTACGGTTTTTCTAAAGGCAAAATAACTGAGGGAATGTATGAATTGGTTTTTAAAAATTTACCACATTTTAAGAATTGGACCTATTTGTTGAATATATCTATATATACATACATATATATATATACACACACCTACACACACACACACACACATACACACAAACAGACACATTAGCTGGAAAAGAATTAGAAGGTTAAAATAACTAAGAAACAAAAATAGGTAAACATCTGGGAAATAATACTTAAAGCAAAAATACTTAAACAAAAAATACTTAAAGGGATAAAAAGAGGCGAGCCACCTCTTTGGTGGTTCAAAATCTCCAGTAAATTGATGCTGTGGGCCACCCAATCAGGGGGTTATGGGTTGTTTTTTTTTTTGCAGCCCATTTTCAACCCAAGTGTTGTTTTCAAAATAGTCTCTCCTGTCCTGCAACGATCTAACATCCATTGACACAATTCCATTTTCTTTTTACTAAGAAGGAAAACCTGTTTTCCTTTTACTAAGGAAAACAAACCAAACTAAAAACGTCCTTTAATTTTTACATAACACTTGAAGTTTGGCAACTCCGCCCTGGTCCATTTTATCGGTAGATTCTGGTGCGTGGTGGACTTGCCCACCTAGTGACCTAATCTTCGAGGCAGATGGTACTTTGTCAGAGCCTCTTCTTTGTTCCTGTGCTTGTGGGTTCAGATCTGGGGTCTCTAGTCTCAGATACCAAGAAATCTCTGAGGGTTAAAAGGCATTCGTACTCTACTTTGCCCTTCTGATATCCCTCCAACTTCTTTGAGTGTTTGCTTGACTCCTGTTATGGAAAGCTCACTGCCTGATTGGGGGAAAAATTGGTTTCAGAGAGCCTAGACTTTGGCAAAGCCCATTCTTACATTTGAGCTGAAAGACATCCTCCCATTTGCCACTGTCCTCACATTGTAGCATCTACCCTGGACTCCAGACTCCAGGTCCAGTTTGATCCACATAAGGCAAAGCAGGTTTTCACCTCCCTCATTCTAAAGCCTATACCTCTACTTATATGACCCAATATCCTTCATTCATTCGGATTGCTCTTCTTAGATTAGCAGCCAGTGAAGATCCCCTAAGTCTGAGATCCTGCTTTGGTCCCCATTGTATTCTGTTCCCCCCTCTCTCTCCTCCTCCCGTCCCTCTTCACTCTCCCTCCTCACCTCCTCTCTCTTCCAGATGATGACCCTGACAGTGCAGTGGATGATCGTGACAGTGACTATCGCAGCGAGACAAGCAACAGCATCCCCCCACCTTATTACACTACATCCCAGCCCAATGCTTCAGTCCACCAGTATTCTGTTCGTCCGCCGCCCTTGGGTTCCCGGGAATCCTACAGTGACTCCATGCACAGTTATGAGGAGTTCTCCGAGCCGCAGGCCCTCAGGTAGCCACCCTGGAGCTGAGGTCCCTGTGCGTGTGTGTGTGTGTGTGTGTGTGTGCGTGTGTGAGTGTGTGTCTAACCCTGTCTCCTGGAGTGAAAAGAGGAGTAGGGGGCTGGGGGGAGCTTGAGGTATAGGTAACCAGGTGTAGAAAAGCAGCATTCACACTTTCTTATAAGCATTAGAGCCCTTGCTTTACCCAAAATTTTGTAAGAAAATTCCACATGATTAAGAAAAGTGGGTCTGCTTTGTCTGAGGAAAGAAAGTCCAAATGCCCCTGATTGGTCCCACTGAAACAGGGGGGCTCCTTGCACTCCTTTAAAAAGCTACTGGTCCCTATCTACTGTCTTACTGGGTGGGGGAGGGGTGGGTGGCAAAAGATCACTATTAGCGGGGGTTGTGAGACACACAGTACTGTTGGAAAAATCCCAACAAGCAGCTGGCTAGGGGTCTCAGGTGGTCCTGCCCAGCTCTCCTGGTGGCACCAGACCCAGTGTTCTGGGCCAGCGAGCATGGGCACAGTGACCGAAAACTGCTCCTATTCTGTCCAGCCATCGTCACCACTCCTTTGAGAGTAGGCTGTCCCCAGACTTGCCCAGGAGGTGGGCCCCTGGCCCCAGTGCACCTTACCACTGCCCAGGGCAGGGTGCCGGTCCTTGAGCCGGGGAGGCTGAAACTCCAGCCTGCCACCGCTCCTCGTTGACCCGACCACCCTAGTCCTGGTTTCCAAACAGGACAATAACCAACATGGAATTAAACAGCTTGAATGTTTGTATGGCATTTAGATAGATAGAAAACACATTCATCCTTGCTGAAAGTTCTATTGCACAGTGTGAGAATTTGGGTAAAACGTAATTTGAAGGAAAACTTCGTAAGCTTCCTACTCTGACTTGACCATTGACTGATACAATTTCTTTGCAGATATTTGAACAACCCTTATTTTTAATTTTCCTATAGTTAATATATACCACAGAAAGTTTAGCTAGTTTATAGATAAAATATTTGGGGAGGAACTTTTTAAGACACTGAGCATCTACTCTAGCCTTTATTTTTTAGATCCAAGGAAATGAAATAACATATTCAAAGTAAAACATTTAGTGGCAGAAATGGGATGAAAATCAAGCAAGAAAGCGTGTTCCTGGCAGAGGGCACAGAAAGCACAAAGGCCTGGAAGTGGGCACAAGTTTAGGGTGTTGGAGGAGCAGCAAGGAGGTCGGTGCGACCAGAGCAGGGGGAGAGAAAGAGGGACAGAGAGGGAGGTGAGTGGGGGGGTTGGAGGGTTTGGGCCGCATGAGGGTGCTGGGCACGGCATAGGTTTGGTTCCAAGGACACTAAAGGGCCTTGTGGCGTTTGGACAGTGGTGGAATGTGATTGGGTTATAACTCAAAGAAGCCCCTCTGTGGCTTCCATGGGAAGCAGGGGCTGTTGGGATGGGAGTGGATGTTGGGCGTCACCATGTGGAGCTGGCAGAGCCTGGACCAGGCCAGGGCCCAGGTGCAGAGAAATGAGTGAATTTTATGTATGTCCACAAGCTGGAGTTAAGGGGATCTGTGGCAGGGCCGGCTGGGAGCAGAGGTTGAGTTAAGGAGTGGAGGCAGAAAGGCCCCGGGCCACGGTGAATAAGGGGGCTCAGTGGTGGAAGGACCAGGTTGAGGTGGGAGATGTCAAGCACCAAGCACAATAACCACAGTGATGTCACAGTCTCCATGGGGGCTGTGTCGAGGACATTGATTCAGGGTCCTCAGCACATGGGAGGAGCGTGGATAGGGGCGGCACCTAGTAGGTCATCAATGATCACTAAGTTCATCCATCTGGTTTGTTGTCTGCAACCCAGACCATAAATGCCACAAGAGCAGGCTTTCTGTCTCCTTTGCTCATGGCTGTGTTTCCCTGGCACCTACAGGGGGCCCAGTGCATGGCAGGTGCTCAAACAGTGCTGAGCAAACAACTGGGTGTTGGACCTGTGGGACTGGGGCTGGTTGGGCAGTGGCTCCGTGCCCACCCCTGAGCCCCACCCATACCCTCAGCCCTACAGGCAGCAGCCGCTACGCCTCCTCAGGGGAGCTGAGCCAGGGCAGCTCACAGCTGAGTGAGGACTTTGACCCGGATGAGCAGAGCCTGCAGGGCTCCGAGTTGGAGGATGAGCGGGACCGGGACTCCTACCACTCCTGCCACAGCTCAGTCAGCTACCACAAGGACTCGCCACACTGGGACCAGGACCTTGAGGATGAGCTGGATGAGGAGCTGGACGAGGAGCTGGATGAGGAGCTAGATGAGGACCTGGAGGACTTCCTGGAGGAGGAGGAGGAGCTGCCTGAGGATGAGGAAGAGCTGGAAGAGGAAGAGGAGGTGCCTGATGACATCCGTGTCTATGCTGAGCACCAGGAGGTAGCCATGGCTGAGCCCAAGGACTTCAAGCGTGTCAGTCTTTTGCCAGCCGCCCCAGAGAAGGAGGACAAGGCCCCAGCCTTGCCCACTGAGGCCCCCACTGTGGCCAAAGTGGCCCCCGAGCCAGCTGTGCCTGAGGAGGTGCCTACAGCCGAGCGGGTGCCCAGGGATGAGCCCCCCAAAGCTGAGGAGAGGTAATGAGAGGGGGCTGAGGGGTTGTCACAAGGTCACCATGATCAGGGGCCAGTGGTGCCATGATGGAGTGAACACGGACCTAGGGAATTGGAGGGGAGGGTGTAGTTGTCACAGGACCATGGGTTCACTGAAGAAATCAAGATGGGCCCAGGTGGTCAGAGGGGTTTCAGTGGAGTTAGAGGAGGTCAAGCTGGGTCATGAAGGTGTCTTAGGGGTTGTGAGGGGTTGGGAAAGTCACAAACGCATTGGGAGGGCCCTGGGCAAATAGATTTACGAGGGGCCAGAGGGCCAGGAGGATGGAAAGGGGAGTCTGAGGACCCAAAATTGTCAGAGAGGTGATGGGCATGTGGGAAGGGGACAGGGGCACTGGGACAGGTCAGAGGGCGGCACAGGTGGGTCCTAGTGTCTCTGAAGGACCAAGCATCACTCAGAAGCAGAGGGAGGAGGGAGAGCTGGCTCTGGAACCTCAGGATGCCCCATGCCTCAGTTTCAGGCCGCAAGAAGATGAGGAAAGCCAGGAGGGTCAGGACTCCATGTCGAGGGCTAAGGCCAACTGGCTGCGAGCCTTTAACAAAGTGCGGCTGCAGCTTCAGGAGGTAAGTGAAAGCCCTGGCCAGCTCACACTCTTGCTCAGTGTCCCATCCATGATCATGCCCAGACTGGCCATGCCCACTTCCCCCTCCTCTAATGCTCCTGCCACACTGGTCCTTTTCCTAGCCCTACCCACCACACCAGTCCATGCCCCACCCCATGAACAGCTTGGCCATGCCCACTTCCTCACCCCATCTACCATGTCTATTCGTCTATATGTCCTGGTCCTTCCATGGCTCTGCCCACACCAACCCAGACCCACGCTTACCTGCCCTACCCTTGTCCCAGCTCTACTATTCCTGATCTCACTCACACCTGCCTGCCCTATCCCTCATACCAAGATCCAGCCCACCCTCTCCCATGCCAACCTGATATTTCTAAGCAGGGCAGGAGGAGAAGTGAGCTGTGACCTGGACTTAGATCATGACTACAGCCGTGTCAGGGATCAACTTCATGAATAGAGGTAGAGATTAGGAATAGGGGTCGAGATCAGGATTAAAGTGGCAGTCAGAGGTCAGAGTTAGAATTGGTATCAGGGGACAAGATCAGTGCTTGGGATCATATTGGGTGTCACTGTCAGTGTTGGGAAAGGTCCGGAGTCAGGTCAGTGTTAGGAAAGGAGTTCAGTGAGAGACAAAATTCATGTCAGGGTCAGGGTGATGACCGTTCAGATGTGCAGAAGGATTGAGACCCTTTACTTACTCCTTCAGTCATTCAAATGACTTTGGGCTGTAGACAGAGCAGTATTATTATCCTGGGGGAACTTCCAAATCTGGATGAGGCTGGCAAGAGAAGATCCTAATCACATTCCCCAAATTTTCAACCATCCAGTATCAGAGCCACAAACATTTCAAATCAAATTTCATGTTAGTTTAAATTTTTTTACTAAATAAGATATTCACATGATTCCAAATTTAAAAGGTAGGAAAGAAGATACAGTGAAAAATCTATTGACTGATTTTCACTGTTATTGGCAAATTAAATGAAAAAAAAAAGCAGAACAACAGCTATTACCCTTGTCCTGGAACCAGTGATATGACAAGAAAAATAATTGTGGGTGGGCTCTCTGAGTTTTATAGATGGGACATGAAAAAAATGCAAGGCAATTAGGAAAATTCCCTGGAGGAGGTGCCACTTAAAGTATTCAAAACACTTCAGTAATATTTCAGAAGAGAGTGCTGCCCACTCTCCCTTCAGCCACGCTACCCTTTAGTTGGTTGCCTGGGACATGGGAGGTGTAGACTCTGAATCTCCACTGAGACCTGAATGATAAATGGAGGCTTCTTGGGTGCAGAAAGTGGGAGGGCATACACACAGGTGACACAGCTTGGGCAAGGGCCCTGGGGCACAAAAGCAGACAGGCAGGTGAGGCTGCAGGGAGTTTAAGGAATGATAGGTTCTTCTGAGTGTTTGAACCAGCCCCTGAGAATCCCTAGAGGCTACAGAAGCATAAGCTCTTGCTGGAATGATGCTAACACAACCTCAGATTGACAGATGAGACTAATATCCACAAAGGCTGATGCCAGAGAAGAACTCCTCTCTCCCATTTTGCAGATGAAAAAGCTGAGGCCCAGAGACAACCAGTGAGTTCTCTAAGGACACACAGTGAGGACTAGGTCCCCAGGTTTCCTGACTTACAACCAAAAAGGAAGACAGAAGTGGGTGTGGAGACTGCCTGGCCCTGGGGAAGGGCAGCCACACTCACCACATCTGTCTGTTCCACAGGCCCGAGGAGAAGGAGAGATGTCCAAATCCCTGTGGTTCAAAGGCGGGTGAGTAATGGAGCTTTGGGGCTGGGAGGAAGTTTTGAACCCAGAGCTTCAGGGTGGTTTGCACCGTGGCCAGCAAGGGCAGGGACAGGTTCCATTTAGATGGGGCACAGAGTGGGCGTGGGTGAAGGAAACAGCGGAACCACTGTCAAAAGACACTCAGGAGCCAAAGGTAGTAACATGTTGAGCCCTCACAACAAAGCCATGGAGGAGCGCTACTCTGTTTTACCGATGGGGAAACTGAGTCTGGAGAGGTATATGCCTTGCCCAAGTCACATAATTCAAAAGTGCTCCCCTCTAAAAATAAATGTGAGATAGAGGGAAAACCCATTTTCCTGCACTGCCCATCTGCAAGCCTGGAGTGAATTTTTTGCTTTGATTCTGCCTTTAAATCTCCTAGACTATTGCTGAGGCTGCTGGTACTTTCATTGACAATAGTCGTTTGGTCTTAAATGGAGCAATTTGTCACATCTAACTTCTGAAGTTACTGATTTTCGGGGGCAGGGCGGGTTTCAGCTTTTGGATAATGAGGTTGCAAAAGATATTCTTAAATTACATTAATGTTTTAAAATAGCAGCAGGAGAGTGACTTCCTTGTAGGTTTTGTGCAAACAGAGCCAGGAGCTGTGATTCCCAGATGAGCAGGTGTGCTGGGCGGGGAGCCCCAGAGCAGGGACTGAGATGGGGATTCCTTGTGTGTGGTGGGTGGAGGAAGCTCTCTCAGGAGACACCCTTGTGGCAGGCAGGGTCAAGCTTGGGAAGCAGCTTGAGCAGAGATGTAGTTGAGGAGTCCCCAAGCCTCTGCCTGATTCTGCAGGGGGCTCTAGAGCAGGAACTGCACCTTAGAGTTTGTCCAAGATACCTAGTGGCCAGGCACCTCTCTCACTGGCCAGTGAGAACCTTCGGGAGAGGAGCCGCAGCTGAACCTTCCCTGGAATGAGTGCACCTCTCAGTAAAGGGAATTCACACAGGTCACTATGGCATCTGCAACAGCGCTCATTCAATCCTCTGGCTACTGTAAAACTGCCAAGAGACAAGAACACAATTTCCAGTTCCCTCATTCCCCTGGGAATTGAAACCATTCCTTCCAGGCTGGATTTTCAATAGACACATATATTTTCAATTCTGAGCATAAAGAAAGGTTTTGTTGATATTTTTATATACTACTTAGGTTTCCCTTAATTCAAATTTTTATTGAACATGGGTGCCTGCCTCACCTCCCCATCTCCAGAAAAGGAAGTTGAGGCCCAGTGTCTTCACTTCCTGTGACACACGACCACAAACAGGGGGATGGTGGGAGCTAAAACAACAGAAATTTATTCTCTTGAGGTTCTGGAGGCAGAAGTCTGAGATCAGGGTGCCAGCAGGGCCGTGCTCCCCCGACACCCATAGGGCAGAATTTCTGCCTGGCCTTTCTGGCTTTCAGGAGCTGTCCGCAGTCCTCAGTAGTTCTCATGTGTAAATGCATTGCTCCGGTCTCCGCCTCCATTATCACACCGCTGTCTTCTGCTTGTGTGTCTCTCTTCTTATAAAGACACCACCATATTAGACTGGGGCCCACACCACTGTAGTACGACCTCATCTTCACTAATGACCTCTGCAATAAACTTTTTTCCAAATAGGTCACATTTTGAAGTCCTAGGGTTTAGGAGTTGAATGTATATTTTTGGAGGGGGGACACAATTACATTCTTAATGCCTGGGGAAATCACATGTCCTGCCCCAGCCTCAGGTGATGTCTCTTGGAGGAAGGGGAACTTCCCTGGGCCCTTGACGTCCTCCTGTGTGTCTTGCAGCCCAGGGGGTGGTCTCATCATCATCGACAGCATGCCTGACATTCGTAAGCGGAAGCCCATCCCACTCGTGAGTGACCTGGTGAGTGCCTGCGCCCTCCCCCACCCTGGCGCTCATCCTGCACAACCGCCCGCAGCAGACCTGGGGCTGGGGGCTGGCGAGGTGCCCTCTGGCACTAACATGATCTGGTTTCTACCTTGTGTGCTGCATGGACTCCTCAGGCCATGGTGAGTGAGTGATAGTGTCTTAGCCCCTGAATCTCCTTCCCAGGCCCCTACACTGGGATTTTTCAACCGGTCCCCAACCCATGGGCTTGGAGAAGGGCCCCTGCCATGTCCTGCAGTTCATGGGTGGGGAAGAGGGCAGGTGACTCCCCGCCTTGGTTCAGTGTGGCTGATGACCATGGCCAAGTCTTGTCGGTGCTGGTGGGGGATGGGTGAGCCAGGGGTGTGGGGCTGTTCACCTTCCAGGGTCCCTTCTAAACCAGAGCCTCTGTCACTTTTTCTTTACCTGTTCTTCTCCTGCTGCTGTGTCCTATTCATTGCGACTTTGGCTTGACTCTGTGGCTGGTGGCCCCAAACCGTGGCTGTGGATTCTGCTCTTGGTGACAATCCCGTGGGTGTCAATCTACTCCGTGACTCCATTGGTGCTGTCCCCGCCCCAGTCCCTGGTCCAGTCCAGAAAAGCGGGCATCACATCGGCCTTGGCCTCCAGCACTTTGAACAACGAGGAGCTGGTGCGTGGGGTTGTAAGGTGGGCTGAGCTGGGGGCTTCTGGAGGAAGAGGGAAAGGGTGTGGTAGAGACAGGCATTCCTCAGTCTCCAGGGTTGGATAGCTCAGCACTGGGTTAGCACCCTCTGTACACAGGAACCTGTGGATTCTGACCGCATGGGGGCGGCGGAGGGACAGAGACTGGACTGTACTCTGCACAGGGTGAGGGTGCAGGCAGGACGGGGCCCCCAGGCGAGGGCCCTGCTCCTCATACCGCACGCCCTCCCTCCTCGCAGAAAAACCACGTTTACAAGAAGACCCTGCAAGCCTTAATTTACCCCATTTCGTGCACGACACCGCACAACTTCGAGGTGTGGACGGCCACCACGCCCACCTACTGCTATGAATGCGAGGGGCTGCTGTGGGGCATCGCGCGGCAGGGCATGCGCTGCACGGAGTGCGGCGTCAAGTGCCACGAGAAGTGCCAGGACCTGCTTAACGCGGACTGCCTGCAGCGTGAGTGCGGGCGCAGCCGGGGCAGGGACGAAGGGGTGGAGCTCCGCGGAAGCAGGGTGGGAGGCAGGGCAAGAACGAGAGGGATTTTCGAGATGGGAGCAGCAAGAAGAGAGGGGCAGAGCCGTGGGCGGGTTGGGGTGATGGGGCAGGACTCTTTTTGGTGGAAGAATGGGGTTGAGAGGAGGGGAAGGAGATGTGAGAGAGTCGAAAAAGGGTGGGAGAGGACTCAGGGACTGGCTTAACTACAAGTGGCGGGGTTAATGAGAGGCACCCATTCCCCTGGAGAAAAAAATGGGTTAGGTAGGGTTAGGGTTAGCTCAGAGAAGGGGCGGGGTCTTGGAGAGACCTGGGATTCAGAGGCTGTGCGGGGATTCAGAGAACAAGTAGGAAGCTCTGGTTTTGGAGTTGATTCTCATGAACCCCCATGGCTTCAAATGCCCACGGCAGCTGCTGAGGGAGCTCTGGACGGGGAGTAGGGGTGCCGGCCGCGGTGAGGCCCGCTCCCTGGACAGTGCAGGCTGTCCGCTTCCACAGGGGCCGCGGAAAAGAGCTCCAAGCACGGGGCTGAGGACCGGACGCAGAACATCATCATGGTGCTCAAGGACCGCATGAAGATCCGGGAGCGCAACAAGCCCGAGATCTTCGAACTCATCCAGGAGGTCTTTGCTGTGACCAAGGCCGCGCACACGCAGCAGATGAAGGCAGTCAAGCAGAGCGTGCTGGATGGCACGTCCAAATGGTCGGCCAAGATCAGCATCACTGGTGAGGCCGCCGGGGGAGGGGGTTGGGGGCCCTTCTCAGCCTTCTATGCTCCCTCGCAGGCCTCTTCCTTGCCTTTGCTGCGCATACGTGAATGTATCCATGTCTTTCCCATGTCCACGTGTGTGTACATTTATGCCACAGGTGAACATGTATGCCTCCAAAACTATGTATATAACACTATCTGGGTGCATCTTCATTAGTGCCCCCAGAATCAGACACCAGGAAAAGGAGTTGAGGGCACATGGTGTATCTGGAAGGTGATCCGGGGAAGCCCCGTGGGAGTCTGGAAGTGAAGCTGGAAGAAAAGGAGCTCCACACAGAGTGCCGCAGCAGGCAGTGCTGTGGACACCTGGGACCACTGGGGGGCAGTATTAAACTCCCACTGCAGAGTGGTCCTACCCTAGGGGCAAGGCCCTTGTGGTGTTTATCCATGGCATACCTCATTTGGATTTCTTAGGAGACAGACCCCAAGATGATTTCAGGGCAGGTGGGTGTCCAGGAGGTGGTCCCAGGAAGCCCTGGTGGGGGGTAGAGACAGAGGTCTGGGAGCAAGGAAAGACAGTGCCCTTCACGTGGGCACCAATGAGCAGAGGACCTTGCAGTCAATGGAGGTTCAGTCCCACTGGGGAACTTCAGGGGCTCAGTGTAAAGCGCACACCTGAGAATGTCCCACTCCAGGGGTGGCCCTGGGGCACCTTCCCATCCTTCACTGGCTGAGGGTTCCTTGGGTGTTAACTCTCTAGCAAGGCCAGTGCGCCCTCAGGCCATACCACAGGCCTCCCCAGCAAGCAGCCTGGAGCCCCTGGCAGTGACTCTTCCCAGCATACGTCCTTCCTTGAGCCACATTTATGTCTGTCCTATGTGTCTTCCAGTGGTCTGTGCCCAGGGCTTGCAGGCAAAGGACAAGACAGGATCCAGTGACCCCTATGTCACTGTTCAGGTTGGGAAGACCAAGAAACGGACGAAAACCATCTACGGGAACCTGAACCCTGTGTGGGAGGAGAACTTTCATTTGTAAGTGCCTGGCTGGGTCCCCAGAACCCCATGCAGAGCTCCCTGCTGGGGCAGCCACAGGGGACCTTAGTACCAGCCAGAGCCAGCTGCCCGACCCTCGCTCCCGCCTCCCCCTTGCAGTGAATGTCACAACTCCTCAGATCGAATCAAGGTGCGTGTCTGGGACGAAGATGATGATATCAAATCCCGAGTGAAGCAGCGGTTCAAGAGGGAGTCTGACGACTTCCTGGGGCAGACTATCATCGAGGTGCGGACACTCAGTGGCGAGATGGATGTGTGGTACAACCTGGGTGAGTTGGGGGAGGGTCTGCAGGGAGTGGGGAGGAGGCCCTGGGGAGCCAGCCAAAAGGGGGAACCTAGTTGGAAAGGAGAGACACAGTGTCAGGAGGAGTCAGTCTAGGAGCCCAATCTGATGACAGCAGGAAGCACCCCAGCTGCAAGGATAACCTAGGAAATGCTTAGCTTGGTTTGGTAGGGTGAGGGAGGGACAGAATCGCTGTATTCCAGTTTCGTGGTGGAAGCAGGAGCAAGACCTGGGGATCCTAGTCTGAAGAGAGAGGCGCAAACCCAGGAATCTGACCTAAGAAGGAAGATTGAACTTTACAAATTTAATCTAAGAAAAGAGGTATACGCATAGTTTGGGCATCCTAATGTGAGAAGCGAGCTGTAGACCCACGAGAACCTGTCTCAGGAGATGAGTAGAATCTGTGAGCCCAATTGGATGAGGGATGCAGGATCTGTGAACTTAGTCTGAAGGTGTAGGAAGAACTCAGTCTGAGAGGGGTGAGCAGAGTCCAGGAACTTCTTCGTTTGGTTGGGAGAAATCTGGATATCCCATTCTGATGGGGGAGGCTGCAACCCTGTATAACAAGATGAGCAGTAGACTCTAGGGCTCTGATTGGGGAGGCAGGGTCTGGGAACTCAGTTGGTGGGAGGGAAGCAGTGCTTAGGGTTTCTAGTCTAAGGAGGAAAAAGCAGAGGCAAGAATTTAATCTGAGTGAGGAAGCAAGGTCTGGGATCCTAGTTTGAAGGGAGAGATGGGGACTAAGGAATTCTAGTCTAATGGAAGGAACACAAGTCGAGGGAGCAATCTGAGGAGAGGCACCCAGGCCTTAATTTCAGGGAGTCTGGGAGGGCAACAGTCATACATACATTAAAATAGCCCAGGGCCAGATTGGAAAGTTCTGACACTGCCATCCCTTCCTGCCCTGTAGACAAACGGACTGACAAATCTGCTGTGTCAGGTGCCATTCGACTACACATCAGTGTGGAGATCAAGGGCGAGGAGAAGGTGGCCCCCTACCACGTCCAGTACACCTGTCTGCATGAGGTGAGGCCCACTGCTCAGCCTGCTTTCATAGCTCATTGTGATCCCTCACACTGCTACCACTCACCATTTCTACCTGCCCCAGCTCCTCCTTCCTCTTTTCTGCCACACCGTCCACACTCCCCTGGGCCTCTGAGGCTGTCCTTTATGCCATTCTCTCTGCTTGAAAAACTCCTCCCCATCCATCAAGGTCCAGCTTCGGGGCCCCCTTCTCTAGGAGGCCTTCCCTGACCCCCAGGTGACTCTTAACTACCTAGCTCCAGGTTTTCCATCTGTCCCATCTATGAACATTCAGAGTTGGGCTGTTTGTGTCTGAGTCTATCTTTTCCAGCTACCTGGGGGCTCCTGGAGAGAACAAATAATTAAATAGATGAATGAGTATTGACTAGATAAAAGAACATATGGATGATGGAGGGATGAGCAGATGGATGTCTAATTAAACTATTGGAAGTATGGGTGAATGGATGGAAGAATTTGAGGGTGGTTGGATAGATGGATGGGTGAACAGATGAATGGACAGATGGATAGATGGATGGGTGGATGGATGGATTTGTCCCCCATATATTGATGGGGGACAAATGGCTGAATTGGTATATGTATGGGTTATTGGACAGATTAAGTTGTACATAGTAGATGGGATAGATGGGTATGTGGCTGATTTACTAGGAGGAAGAATAGATAGATTTGGGGATTGAAGGGGTGAGTGGATCAACGGATGGATAGATGGGTAAATGAATGGAAGGATGGGTGGGTGGGTGGAAAAATGGCTGTGTGAGTGGATGAATGTATGGATGAACTATTGGAAGTAAAGAGGTGTAATGAGTGAATTTTGGGGTAGTTAGACAGGTGGGTGGCTGAATAGATGCATCAACAGATGGATGATAGATGGATGAGTAGATTGATGGTTGATTGGGTGGAAGGATGAATTGTTAGATGGACTGATTAAGTTGTGGGTAAATGTATGGAATAGATGGGTATGTGGTTGAATTATCAGAATGGTGAATTAGTGGATGGATAAATTTGGGGGTAGTTGAATGGATGGGTGGGTGAGTGGATGGATGGATGGATGGATGGATGGATAGATGGATAGATGGATGGACGGATGAATTATTAGAAATGGATGAAGGATAGGTGAAATTTTGGGTAGCTGGATGGGTGAAAGAGTAGATGAATAAACAGATAGATTATGTAAGATGCCCTAGACCTGACCCCTTCTGGCCCCTTGCACTCTCTGATACACCTTCTCCCTTGTATTGGCAGAACCTGTTTCACTTCGTGACTGACATGCAGAACAATGGGGTTGTGAAGATCCCGGATGCCAAGGGTGATGACGCCTGGAAAGTTTACTATGATGAGACAGCCCAGGAGATTGTGGATGAATTTGCCATGCGCTATGGCGTCGAGTCCATCTACCAAGCCATGACGTGAGGCCATAGGCTGGGGTGGACATCAGGGGGAGGTGCAAGAAACTGGGCAAGGGGGTCACCAAGCAGATGCTGGCAGATCTGAGATGGAAGGGACTCATAGGAAAAAGAGTCAGAAAAGAAGTGGGTGTGTTGGGTGTTATATAATTTCTCTGAGAGGTTAGGCAAGTACCAGTGCTGGGAGCTGCAGTGACTGGGATGAGAGCTAGAGTTAGAGGCAGAGCTGGGAGACAACCTGGAGAGGAGACAGAGAAAAACTCAGAGGACAGAATCAGGTGACAGAAAGGGATTGTTTGGGAGTTGGGAAGAATCACGATGCTGTCTTGGTGGCATTCTGGGGGGTCACAGCCTCTCCTGGCTGGACACCAGGCCCAGTGCTTCCCACTCCCTTTCACCAGCCACTTTGCCTGCCTCTCCTCCAAGTACATGTGTCCTGGGGTGCCTGCCGTCATGAGCACCCTGCTTGCCAACATCAACGCCTATTATGCGCATACCACCGCCTCTACCAACGTGTCTGCCTCTGACCGCTTCGCAGCCTCCAATTTCGGGGTCAGTCCCAGGGGCTGGGGGATGAGGGAGAACCCAAACCTGTGCTGGTGAAACCCTGTGCAGCTCCCAGATTTCCAATTTGGACTTGATTTGCTGTGTGATGTTGTACCAGTCACAGCTCTCTGAGTTTCAGTTTACTCTTCTGTAGAATGGAAATGGATATTATAAGGGTTTAGTTCAATGGTAGATGGGATGCTTTTACTGTATATTAAACCCTCAGCCAATATGGCAGCCAGCTTTCACTGCTGCACTCAACGCCCAAGGTCCTGCTTCCATCCATTGTCCTCCTTTTCTGCTTCCCCAGAAAGAGCGCTTTGTGAAGCTCCTGGATCAACTGCATAACTCCCTGCGGATAGACCTCTCCATGTATCGGGTGAGAAGTGCATGCGTGATGACTTGCTTACTGCCATGAATGTGTGTGCCCATAAAGGACAGCCTCTAGCAGGCGTGCATGTGGGAGGACCCATTCTAACATGCAGAGTGTGTTCCTCTAACATGTATACACATATGTGAGCAGCTCCTTCCCAACCTACTTGGTGTATCCAAGAAGACCTCCTAGTTGCTTCAGTGTTCTCATTGACCCCCAATCCACCTCCTGAAACTTGAGGGCTCTTGCATCTCCCCTAAAACACTGTGTCCCATCCTCCCCTAACCTTCTTCCGTAACTCCACCTCTCTTCTCCCATCCAACAGAATAACTTCCCAGCCAGCAGCCCAGAGAGACTCCAGGACCTCAAATCCACTGTGGACCTTCTCACTAGCATCACCTTCTTTCGGATGAAGGTAGGAAAGGGGACCCAGTCCCACTAGCTCTCCGAGAAGAATTCTCCAGGACTCTTAACTCCTAAAAGTAGCATTTCTCCTGGAGACAAGTGCCTTTTCACAGTGACTCTCTGTTTTCACACTGTTATGTTTCCTTAAACCCAGAACCACTTATAGCCATTTCCTAGGCACCTCCTGTTCCCGCTTTACCCATCCGTGCGCACCTCCCTTCCTCCAGGTGCAAGAACTCCAGAGCCCGCCCCGAGCCAGCCAGGTGGTGAAGGATTGTGTGAAAGCCTGCCTCAACTCTACTTATGAGTATATCTTCAACAACTGTCATGAACTCTACAGTCGGGAATACCAGACAGACCCTGTAAGAACCCCAGATGAGGCAGAAGGGACTAGTAGACACCACCTGACCCTGGCCTAAGTCCCAGATCTTCTCCTTTCCAAGTGATTTTACTGTTCTGAGCCTCAGTATCTCCCTCTATAAAATTACATCATTAACCCACATCTCAGGTTTGAGGAGATTCAATGAGATACAAGATTTATATAAAATATAGTTATATACTTAGTACCTGATACACAATAGGTGCTAATAATTTGATTTTAGTTCAGTTTAGTTGGGCATAACACAGTGTGTGTGGAATTGAATCACTGTTCAATGAACTTTGAATTGAATTTTTTAGTACAGTACAGTTTTGGTCATTTCAACTCAATTTATTTGAGATCTTTCAACATGTGTTTATCTACACATATAATGTCCCAGGATTTCGTCAAAAACATTTCAATGAACTTATGCTCTATTATGAAAGAAAGATGTAAAAGTTAGTAATTTACAACCCAGGGTGATTAGCCTGAGATGGCCCCTACATCAGGTTTGGCTTCTAATAGGAGGTAACACGTAAGCCAAAATCAGTTCAATTTTATTTCATTCTGTTCATTTACATTCATTTGACTTGAGTTGAAATCAAGTTGCTCTTAATTGAACTGTGTTGAGGTAAAGTGGATTAAATTGAGTTTAGTTCAACTCTAATCAGTTTAGTTCCATTTATTTCTATTCAGTTGACTTAAAATTGCTCTTGGCTAATTACTGAGCAGCACTGAATTGGACCGAATGAATTTAATTGAGTAAAAATGTATTCATGTCAATTCAGTTGAATTGAGTTGAAATTGTTCTTGACTGTTGAGTTGGCTTGAGTCAGGATGAGCTGGGCTGTCGGATTAGGTACAGCTGACTTCAACTGACTTAGATTCAATTGGGCTCATTTCTGTTGAGTTTAGTTACACTCATTTCCATTGACTGACTAATGTTAGACTGAGTTGATCTGAGTATGTTAGGTTGAGGTGAGCAGTTAGAGTTGGATTGGGTGGACTTAGACTGAGCTGAGTTAGATTAAATTGAGTTGAGTTCAGATCAATTACTGTCCATTATTTTGATGTAGGTTGATGTGGATCTTATCTTGGAGAGATTGATTAGGCTAAATCCAATTCAGTTTATTTGAGTTAAATTCAATCCAATTTAATTCCACTCTATGAAGTGTAGTTGGCCCAAGTTCAGTTCCACTGAATTAACTCTGAGAAATGTGATCTGTTAAGCTAAGTGGGTATGATTTGTATTAGTTTCAGTTTTATTTGGTTTAGGGAGCTTGGGTTTGTTCAACTAAATTCAGTTTTATTCAGTTTTATGAGCTGAGTCTAGTTAAGCTTCGTTAAGCTGAGTAGATATGAGCCCTGCTTGAGCCCATTTACATGAGTTCCGTCCCTTTCTATGCAGACTTCCCACCTGAACCACACACATGTTAATGGGGCCCCTTCCTCAACAACCTCCTGCACCTCAATAAAAAACTGAAGCTCCCACCCCTTAACCCATTATGGCCGACATCTCTCCTGCCCCACCAGGCCAAGAAGGGGGAAGTTCCCCCAGAGGAACAGGGCCCCAGCATCAAGAACCTCGACTTCTGGTCCAAGCTGATCACTCTCATAGTATCCATCATTGAGGAAGACAAGAATTCCTACACTCCCTGCCTCAACCAGTGAGTTGTGTGTCTAAGTAGTTAATTATCTGGAGGTTGTCATATATGTGTGTACAGTTCTGTCTTATGTGTAAAGGTGATCATGTCTGTTGCACATAAAGTGTTGTGTATGTGGGAGCAATTGTGAGTGTGGTTGTGCCTAGGTGAAATATAGCATAATTTGCAAACATAAAGAGATGGGTGGGTGAATGGATGGGTATATGGATGGGTAAAGGGGTAAATTAAGGGATGAAGGGATGGAGGGATGTGTGAGTGGAGATTCAAGAGAAGCAGAACCTTAAGGCAGAGTCATTCAGCCTTGACAAGTGTCACTCGTGCAAGTTGGTGGCTGTGAGGGAACCTGAATATAGATCCCTTTTCCCTACCCTTTGGCAGGGAAGGCCAAAACAGCCTGTGCTGTCTTCTGGCTGTCGAGTTTCTATACTTCCCTAACTTTTGCCAGGTTTCCCCAGGAGCTGAATGTGGGTAAAATCAGTGCTGAAGTGATGTGGAACCTGTTTGCCCAGGATATGAAGTATGCCATGGAGGGTGAGTCCCCCACCCCTGCGTCTCCCAGCCTGGCTATAGCAGATGGCTGTGTCTCAGTGTCTTCTTCAAGACTGTGAGCTCCCTTCCTCACCATGCCTGAACTCCAATACCAGCGATGGCCAGAGTGTGCACTGCCAAGACAGAGGGTGGCAGACCCTCCTGGCTGAGCCACTCCCCTCTATTCCCTGCTCCAGAGCATGACAAGCATCGCTTGTGCAAGAGTGCTGACTACATGAACCTCCACTTCAAGGTCAAGTGGCTCTACAATGAGTATGTGGCGGAACTTCCTGCTTTCAAGGACAGAGTGCCTGAGTACCCTGCGTAAGCCTCCTGCCCAGAACCCAAGCCAGAACTATAGTGCTGACACTAGACTGAGGCCCAAAGAGGAGGGCTCACCTACTTAGTGTTCCCTGAGCATTGGGGGCACAGGTGGGGCTTAAACGCGGTGTTCTCCATTCTTGGTCATTGGCCTAAAGACTCCGATAGCCAAACAATTAATACTCATTAATATCAGGAACTGTGCTGAGAAGTCCCACGTGTGTATTCTCATTTAATTTTTTAGATAGTTCTATGAGATGGGAACATCATAATTCCCATTTTGTGGATGGAGAAATATAGGGTTAAATGCTGTAGGATTTGCCCAAGGCAACATCCAATAAGTGATGGAGCTAGATTTGAACTTGGAGTGTCTGACACACAAGCTGTGGTAGAGAGTGGGTTGGTGGCCACCATTTACTGAGAACCTACTATGCTGTGCTGGGATCTCAGAGAGTAAACTTATTTGCCCATGGCAGTTTATCAACCATGATTCCTGCAAATCTGGGCCTTGCCCTGACAGTGGTCACTTGGTCAGTTTCATGGGGGAAGCAGCCAAGGTCTGGCGGGGGAGGGGATCAGAGGAGTGACCACCCAAGGCCACAGGGTGTATTCAAGCAGAAGGTTATGGGGACAAGAGATGGCAGGGTCCCACCCCGGCTATCCATTCCAGGTGGTTTGAGCCTTTCGTCATCCAGTGGCTGGACGAGAATGAGGAGGTGTCCCGAGATTTCTTGCACGGGGCCCTGGAGCGAGACAAGAAGGATGGGGTGAGAAGGCTGACCCACCACCAAGCTCCCAATCTGCCCACAGTGGATTCACTCCCTCTGTGGTCCATTGAGATACAATCTGGGGGCAAAAACTGCCGTTGGGATGAGGCCAGTCTCTGGAGGGTGTCCACAATCTTTGTCTTATTCATGGTGTTTAAAGTCTTTTGTTCGTTCAACAAATGAATGTGAGTTTATCAAGCCTGACCCCACTTGCCCACCCCCCGTGGCTTCTGTGTCTGACTGTAAGTCAACCTCACATACTATCCATCTCACCCCAGGACAGTTGGTCTCTGGCTCTCCTCATGGAGAGTAGGGGGTTGGGCTCTGGGGACTGTCTGGCTCTGACCCCTCTGTCTCCCTCCTGGCCTCCTTTCCCCTGCAGTTCCAGCAGACCTCAGAGCATGCCCTGTTCTCCTGCTCCGTGGTGGATGTCTTCTCCCAGCTTAACCAGAGCTTTGAGATCATCAAGAAGCTGGAATGCCCTGACCCCCAGATTGTGGGGCACTACATGAGGCGGTTCGCCAAGGTGCGGGAGTACGGGTGAGGTCGGGTGGGGGTTGGTTCAGGCTTAGGGTCAAGATTGAGGTGGAGTTGAGGCCGAGATTGGTGTTAAAGTTGGGGTTGGTGATATCACTGGGACTGAGGTTGGGGTTGGAGCCAGTGGAAAAACCAACCCAAACCACTGTTGGAGTTGGCCATGCCATAGATGTTGGAGTGTGGCTGGGGACAGGGTTTGGGTTCAGGTTGAGGTTGGAGTTGGTGATGTCATTGAGATTGGAGTCGAGGTTGGGATTAGGGCATGGGTTGAAGTTGAGGTCAGGACTGACACTGAGGTTGAGTTTGAGGTAAAAGTAGGAACTGGTGATACAGTGGGACTGAGGTTGGGGTTGAGGTCAGTGTTGGGGCTATTTCTCCCATAGAGGTCAGAGTTTTAAGTTGGAGACAGCATCTGAGTTAAGATTGGGGTTGAGGTCAGAGTTGTAGTTAAGGCTGGAGTTGATTTGGAGCTGGAGTTAAGGTTGGGGATGGGGTTGAGGTTGTAGTTGGGTTGAGATTAGAGTTCCAGTTAGGATTGGGATTTGATTGGTATTATTAGAGTGCATGTTGGATTTGAGTGGGCCCTGGGGGAGTTTGGGGATTGAGATCATTGGACTGGGATTAGGTTCAATTGGATTTGCTTTAGGCTGGCATGAAGTTGGGGGATGCAGGTAGGAAATGAGATTTGATTTGGGATCAGGTAATGTTCGTGGCTGGGGCTGGGTTAACATGATGACTGATTGCTCTGGAAAAGAGCTGAGTCTACATAAAATAATTGTCTTCAAGTGGCGGTGTCTCCCTTGACTGCGATGGCCATCCTGGGTAGATAATTCACCCAGCCCAGTGGTCCATTTTAGGCACTAAAGTGGGTTTGAGTTTATCCCTCATCTCACTAGTGGCTCTTGATGGGCCCATCTAGCTCCAGCCCCTCCTCTTAACCCTCCGTGTCCCACCCAGACCATCAGCAATGTGCTCCTTCAGTATGCGGACATCATCATCAAGGACTTCGCCTCCTACTGCTCCAAGGAGAAGGAGAAAGTGGTGACCTGCGGGGCCCCTGTCCTCCCTCCCAACCCCATTCTGCAGCCCCAGGGCTCCATCCTTCCCTGGGCTCTGAGACCTGTGTTTGCACGTGTGTCCAACTGTGTGCATCTAACTTTGTATGTCGTGGGGGATCTGGAGGTGAAGGGACATGCCTTTAGTGTGTCATTGTCTGGTTGTGGCAAATGAAGCCTTCAGGGTATATGTACTTGAGCATGCAGAGCTTTGAGCCCATGTAGGAGTACGTGGGTATATGACTAGAACTCCCCTTCCTTGGGCCATCCTTCCCTCTGCCAGTCCCCAGAGACCACCCTCTCAACACTCGCAGGAATATCTATTCTCAGATGACCTTGTGGGACCCCAGCTTTCTCCAGACCCAGACCCTGAAACCATTCAGGGTTCCTGCTGGTGGGTGGAAGAGACCCTAGTGAGGGGTCCTGAGCCCTGACTCCCTGCTTTGTTCCCATCCCCAGCCCTGCATTCTCATGAACAACACTCAGCAGCTGCGAGTTCAGCTAGAGAAGATGTTTGAAGCCATGGGAGGCAAGGAGGTGAGGTGGGGCCAAGCATGGTGACGCCCCCCCCCACCCCTGCAGGCCCCAGAGCTCATACCTGATGAATTCCAATTCAGCCATTCCCTTAAACCCCAGCAAATGGCTTCACTGCCTGTGTCTCTGTTTCCTCCCCAGCCCCTTGGGGTCCCTTTCCCTGAGTTGGGCTGGAAAATGCCCCAGACATGTGGATACTCTGTAAACCTGACCTGACAAATGTTCCTTCCCCTTCCTCAGCTGGATGCTGAAGCCAGTGACATCTTAAAAGAGCTCCAGGTGAAACTTAACAACGTCTTGGATGAACTCAGCCGGGTGTTTGCTACCAGGTGGGGGCACGTCCAGGGCTGGGAGCAGGGGGAGGGGGCAGCTTCCAGACCTCTGAGCCTGGGGTGTCCAGAGACTCAGCAGACATAGTGGTGAAGGCCTCAGGCTTGGAGTTAGATGAAGTTGCATTCAACCATGGCTTCACTGCTTACTAGCTGTGTGGCCTTGGGTGAATCTTAACTTCTCTGAGCCTTAGTTTATTCATCTGTAAAGTAGGGATGATAATAGTACCTGAGTAGGACTGTGTGATGAAATGGTAAATGTCTTAGCCCAGTGCTGGATTCTGCTAGTATGAATGCCCCCTCAGTCATATGCCATGGCTCCCTGAAGCTGATGATAAAAGGTCAAGGTCCATAGATTAGCATTTATGGCCTCACCTGGTCCTTTCTCCAGAGTCTAGAAGTCTGGTCTGAGCTCCTCCCCTCTGTGCCCTCAGCTTCCAGCCTCACATTGAGGAGTGTGTCAAACAGATGGGCGACATACTTAGCCAGGTGAAGGGCACTGGCAATGTGCCAGCCAGTGCCTGCAGCAGTGTGGCCCAGGATGCTGACAACGTGCTGCAGCCCATCATGGACCTGCTGGACAGCAAGTGAGCCAGGCTGGGTAGACTAGGCTGGTGAGGGAGGGGCCGTGGGTGGGACCTCAGAGACTGGGCATAGGCCTGGAGACGTTTGAGCATGCCTACTGGGTGACAGTTGAATTATTTGGATGAGTGGGTGGGTGGAGGCAATGAAGGGATGGAAAGATGGGTGGGTAAATGATTGGAGGGATTGGTGAGTAAGTATTTGTACCGATAAATGGATGACGTAAGGGTTGGACACGTAGATAGATGGGTAGATTAAAAGATAAATGCTAGAAGGCTAGATGGAGGAAAGGTGGATGAAAGGATGGATGGATGAACAATTGGGTAGATAAATGGATGGATGGATAAATGGGTGGATAGTTAGGTAAGTATTTGGCTGAATGAATAACTGGATGGATGGATGGACGAGAATAAGGATAAATGGATGGAGGTGTAGATGGGAGGATGGATGGAAAGGGGGAGCGAGGGCAGAAGAAAGGATGGATGATGAATAGTTAGAAACGTGGATGTATGGAAGGAAGGAAGAGGGAGGGAGGGAGGGAGGAAGAAAGGAAGGAAAATAGATGGAAGGAGCATTAAAGAAAGTTGGGGAAGGGTTGGTTTGGTGGGGGGGTTCAGTTGCTGGATGAGTCATAGTAGATTGCCTCAAACATCCAATCACGAATTCTTTGTTTTTCCTCTCGAGTCTGCCCTTTTCCTATAATTTGCTTGCTCTTCCTCTTGAGCATGGCCCCAGCCTCCTCCCAGTCCTGATTCTCCATGCTGCCTTCTAATCTAATTTACCCCACTCTATTTTTTCGAACAGCAGGGTCTGTCTTTTTCTCTTGAATGCTCCATGGTTCCCCACTGCCCTCATGCTAGACCTTCTTCCCAGACTTTGCAGCCCTTTCCTGTCTGGCCACTGCTGGGCTTTCCAGCCATTTCCTCTCCACACTGTGGCTCCATCGGAGGTCCACCCAAGGCCCCTGCGCAGGCTCTGAGCCCGCTGGCATGTCCATGGGATGCTTTCCCATCTTGACCATATTTTGAGGGGGAGGGCCTGGTTCCACAGGTCAGGGTCAGCTGGGTTCTCTCTCATACCTGCCCCTCCCCCCTAGCCTGACTCTCTTTGCCAAAATCTGTGAGAAGACGGTGCTGAAGAGAGTACTGAAGGAGCTGTGGAAGCTGGTCATGAACACCATGGAGAAGACCATCGTCCTGCCACCACTCACTGACCAGACGGTGAGGCCCACAGGGGTCAGAGGGGATGCCTGGGCCACCTCCCCTGTGGGAGCTCAGAGAGCTTGGTGCTAAAGACATTGGGACTCAGAGGTTGTCCAGGTCATAAGGGTCACAGAAGCCACCAGAGATCAATGAGGCCAAAAACCAGAGAGGTTACATATAGGTCAAAAGTCATCAAAAGGTCACAGAGGTCAAGCAGAGTCAAAGGACATGAAATGTCACATGAGTAAGAGGTCATTCAAAGGTCAGAGGTCATCCAGAAAACAAGTCAGCTTGGGGCGCAAGGCCACTTATGGGACACATAAGTCATAGGGGTCTCTGGGTTTATCAGAGGCCCTTTAGGGGGTCAATCAAGAGACAAGGAAAGGAGACACCATGGACTTCACAAAGATCAAAGATGAATAGAACAGGGGTTTCCCTTTGGGGAATAGCCTAGAGAAGGTAATCCCCAGGGATTAGGCTGCCAGGTGAGAGGTGACAGCTGTGGAGGGGTATGGTTGGGCATGAGTCCTTCCAGGGAGGTGTTGGGGGCCTGGACACCTTGATATATGGGTTGATGGCTCAGCACAAAGTGGGAGGACACTCCTGGGTGGATGTGGGAGGCTTGGGGAGGGTGGGTGGGGTCTCCCCAAGAGGCAACCATGGTGTAGGAGGCTTGGCCCTCTCATAACCGACCCTGCCTCATCCAGGCTGGGCTAGGGCACAGGGTTCACCCCTCCGTGCCCTCTCCGCCCTCTCCCTGGCCTTCCCGGGAGACTCATGGTGACTTATTCCCCTCTCCCTACCACCCGGCCCCCATCACGGCTGACAGATGATCGTAAGTAAAGTCCCTTCTGTCTGTCTGTCCGTCCGTCCGCTCTATGTCTGGACTCAGCCCACCGCGTGGCTGCAGTCCCCCACCCAGTGCCCCCTCCTCACCCACTGCCCCCTGCACACTGTCCCACCTCCTGCCTAGATGTGCCTGTGTCTGTCTGGGGCGGAGCATGGGGAGGGGGCGGGGCTGGGAGGGAGGGAGGCCTCGCCTACCACCCCACCCCATTATAAGTATGGAGGCAGCACCTCCAGGTTCCCAAACCCCAGGCCTAGCACCTTCACATCTGCCCTGGTCTCTTAGTTGGGATATGCCCCCTCGCCCACGCTCAGACACTATTAGGGTATCTGCAGCTCTTCTAGAAACTAGGAGGTTCAAAGTCAACACAGCCCCTCTGATGTCCCCTTTGGGCTCACCACCCAGGACCCTACTCAGCTGCTCAGTGCAGGCCTTCCACCACTCCCACCCACCCCACTCCCAGGGCTCATAAACCCAAGCACCCAGGTGGGAGATGGATTTGGTGTCAGGTAGACCTGATGTCCAATCCCAGTTCAGCCGCTCTCTCTTTCTCTCTCTCTGTGACCTTGGAAAGTCACTTCACCTTCCAACCTCTGTCTCTTTGTCTGGGAAAAGTGGTTAATTGTAGCAACTGGCAGAGTGCTGTTGTCAAAACCAAATGGGACAGTGCATTAAAGTGCTCATCTCATGACTAGTGGAGGCAGTGGTCACTAAATCAGAGCTAAGGCTGTTGTTTTGGTGGTGGGGGTAGTATTTAGACACATACCAGAGTAGAAGTCAGTAAAACCACTTTAGAGCCCCCCTCTTTGTGAGAAATACAAAGCTGTTACAATATTTAATCTTATCAAAAGTCTACAGGAGTTCATCTCATCTCTTGGAGGCTTCACTGTGGGTCTTCAGCTACATAACCATCTGGGGGCAGCGCACCCAACCAGACAATGCACTTGTGGGCAGGAAGCAAAAAGAGTTTATGTTACTGATGATTCCCTGTACACCAGACCCCCACTTAGCTGCACGAAATTTCAGCTCACCCTCATGAGCCTTTAGAGAAAGGTGGATTTTATTATTCCCATTTTGCCAATGAGGAAAGCTGAGATTTGGGGGAGGAGTCATTTATTCTCATATGAAACAGAAGCCAGAGTCAGTATGCAGATATAGGTCTGTCTGAATACGGAACTGTTTGCTTTCCTGTTCACCCAAGAACCGAGTGCCTCAGGTAGACAACAAATGTAAATGGTTATATTTTGGCAGCAACTTCTCTCCTTTTTCTCTGGCTCCGTATTTCTATTTCTCCTCTCTTTCTTGTCTTTCCAAGCCCCTCACACTTTTTAACAGTCGGTCATTAAGACACACACCCACAAACAACCCCGTGCGACCCAGTCACCAGCCCCCTGTGCAATGTAGACGCCCCTTAACCCCTGTCCCCGTGAGTACCTGTGTGATCACCCCGCGTCCCCCCACATGGCTTGCCAGGCTGTTCACCCTGTGACGTTGTCTCTGCAGGGCACCCTCTTGAGAAAACATGGCAAGGGATTAGAAAAGGTAATGAGGGCCTCGTCGGTGCTGAGGCCCTGAGCCCCAGTGTCTGGGCTTGTGTGTGCGTGTGTGCGTCCGCGTGCGTGGGCAGGATGGTCAGCTGAGGGTCATGAGGAGGGGTCCTAACTGGCGCCCTCACAACCAGGATGCAGAGATGAGTTGATTCCCCAGGGATAAGGCTTATGGAGTGTGTGCACGTGCAAGCTGACGTGTGCACATGCGGCTCCTGCCCTCTCAGGACAACACGCAAGGAGCTTGCCCCTGGCCTGCACTCAGCTGAAATTCTGTGGCTTCAAGAAGGGCCCAGACACTGAACCATTGTCCTGGGCTGAGACATGCTTTGTTTTTTATGCAGATTTTTGTGTGCTAATGGTTGTGTACTGTAAAGAGATGGGAGCTGTAGCAACACACGAACAGTTGCCATTGCTGTGCACTTGTATGGGACCTCACACTTGTGTGAACACAAGTGAGGTCTCCACTTTATGAACGTGGATAGTGGGACTTCCCTACTCACTCACCCAGCCACGTTCGAGGCGCCAGGCACCATACACATGCATGTGCACCTGTGGGAGGGGGAGAAGGTGTGGGGGTCGGGATGATTGTGCACACACGTGCAAGTATTTAGGAATGCACATGTATATTTTAGCATTTGACTTCTGCCAGTGTGTGTGTGCATAAACTTTCTGCACACTCATGGATGTGCCTGAGTGTCCCTGTGTTGAGCAAACTTGTGATACCCGTTAGCATGTTTCTTTTAGAGTCAGGCCTCCCGGGATAAGCTCTTGGGAGTTGGGAGGCAATAGGCCTCAAGCTCTGCTTCTCCTCCCCTTTTCCGAGGTGCCCCACCCTGGGGCAGGCAGACTTTGGGATGGGGCATCTGTCCCAAGGCGGTGGGCTGGTTCTAGGCTCTTGGCATGGCAGTCCAGGAGCCTGGCCCCAAGCCCCCACCGAGGGACAAGGGAAAGTGCATAGCTGGGGAGGGAGCTCATCATTAGACCCAGGACCTGGGAGGGAGCTCTTGGGCTGAGGGGTGGGACTGTGCTTTGAGGGGGCAGGGAAGTCCCACTGACTATCGTCCCAGCCAGCACCTGAACTCTGACCTCCACCTGATTTTCTTCACAGGGCAGGGCGAAACTGCCAAGCCACTCAGATGTAAGACCGACCCCTCACTGTCTGTCTGGCTCCTCCCCACCCCCACCCCACCCCCTGCCTCCTTCCACCCCTGTAGTCCGTGCCGTCTGGGGTCTTTCTGTGAACCCGTCTGTTGGTCTCTTCTTCCTCTGTCTGTCTGGCTTGCTCGTGAGGGGTGGCAGGCGGGGGCTCAGCAGGCTGGGAGGAGGGGTGGCAAGGGAAACTGAGGCTCAGGCAGCTGGTCTCCTGAGTAACTGTGCCTCACTATAGCCTTAGGGAATCACAGACCAGGAATAAGGGAGCGAGGACAGCCAGAATGGTGATAGCACAAGTAGTTGCTTCCAGGGTCAGCTGGTAGATCGTCCACGTAATTAGTTCTACATCTCCTAGCTGTGAATGGCTCCCTCCCTGCCCAGGACCCCCGGGCCGGCTCAGGACCCAGTAATGCAGGACTCATTTCACTGATACTCAGCCCCACCCCATCCTCCAACGGGTGCCCCTGTAAGCCAGGGGAAGAAACGGAGGCCCGGAAAGGGCCTGGGATACACCTCAGGTCACGCAGCACAGTGATGGAGGAGGCAGGACATGGGACTTCCAGGCCTGGACCCTGTCTCCCCCAGCACTGCCCATAACCTTTAGATCAAGTGCTAGTAGCAATAACCATTGAAGAAAGACAGTCACAGCTAAACTTCGAAGTGGATATGATTTCCCTCATCTAGTTGGCAAAACTAAGGCTCAGAGAGGTTAAGTGACTTGCCCAGGGCCACACAGCAGAGCTGATATTTGAACCCGGGCCCACTCAGCTTGTTGGGACAATAACCAGGACACCATCTTGACGGTGTCTGGGGGGGGGTATATTGAAGTGTGTGTTGTTGGGAAGATTGTTCTTTTAAAAGGTCAGATTAACAGACCCCCCAGATTACTGGGGAATGCCTCCCACAGAGGAAATTGTCCTGTGAGTAGCGGGGGTTTCACTAGAGCTCATCCCACGGTTTCCTCAAGACCCTCTGACTTTGGGCTGGCAAGGCCTACCCACACCTACGAACACCATCTGGAGCTCCCCCCACCCACCGCCCCTCACAGCTCCCTCTCTCTCTCTCTCTCTCTCTCTCTCTCTGTTTCACTTCTCTGTCCCCAAAACCTGGGGTCCTGGTGGAGGCGGGAGGGTGGATAACATCCCCACAGGACAGGGATTTCTGGGGACAAAGTCACCACCTCTCAGCACTTCCTGGGAGGCTCCAGACCTGTCTCCAGGACATACCCATTGCCTTTGGCCCAGAGCCTTTGGACAAGAACCAAGATGTCCAGGGCTAGGGTGTTAGCAAGGGCTTGGGGACTGGGCTGGACTCCCACCCTCACCGGGCTGTGTCTGTTGCTACCCGCAGGGAACCCAGATGATCTTCAATGCAGCCAAGGAGCTGGGGCAACTGTCTAAGCTCAAGGTGAGGCCAGGGATGAGGGCAGGGGATCGGGAGGGGGGATTCCTTGGGGAGAAGCCTCAGAACAGTGACATGCTTTGCAGGTTCATGGGGCAGGAATACTACTCAGACTGGCTTAAGCACGATTTATTGTGCTGGTGTATTGGAAAGATGTACATGGTTCAACTTCAGATGTAGCTTGATCAAGGGTGCAAATAATTTAGTCAACAAATATTTATTGAGCATCTGCTGTGTGCCAGTTACTTGCTGGGCGCTGGGGACACCATGATGAAACGGCAGACCGACTATCTAATTCCTCACAGTTTTATAAGGAGTAGTACCGTAGATTAGCAGATTCCTAATGAAGGGCTTGCTCCACCCACCTGGCCCCTCTCTCCATCCATCCAGGACCACATGGTACGAGAGGAAGCCAAGAGCTTGACCCCAAAGCAGTGTGCAGTCGTAGAGCTGGCCCTGGACACCATCAAGGTGAGATGCTCCACCCCTACCTATCCCAGGTGGGGCAGGCTGAAGGTGTGGCTGACCTGGACATGGACCTAGGTTTGAACCCACCTTAACTCATTCAATTTATAAACACTTCCTGATGACCCTCTAGCAAGGCCCAGAGGAGTCCCAGGCTGGGGGGCACAGGTGGATGCAGGCGTCCCCAGCCCCGTGGGGTCAGAGTGTGGTAGAGAGAAGGATAGGAGCTGGGGTAGCCCAGGGAGGGAGCAGCAAGGACTTTCTGGAAGAAGGCATGTGGAAGGTGGGTTTTGAGGAATGCATAGGAGTTCATAAGGCAAAGCGAACAGCGTTCTAGGCAGGGGCCCAGCCCATGCAAGAACGTGGAGGGATGAAAGGGGCTGTGGTCTCCATGAAATGAAAAGCATGAAAACTACTCTGAAAAAATGTTTTGTTGAAATGGAGTTAGGCAATATATTAAAGAGCAGGGGTCATGGAAGCTCCTTGAAACCTTGATCAAAGAAAGATGAGGAATCAGGTAAGACTAAGGGCCAGGGTAGGGGCAGAGAGGGCCTCACCACCAGTGAGCATAGTAAATGCAAAGGCCCTGAGGCAGGTTTGTTCTAGGGAAGACACCTGGGGAGAAGGCAGGAATGTTGCCTGGCTAGAGCCACAATGGACCGAGTGAGAGGTTGGAGGCATGAGTGTTATTCTGAGGGTGCTGGGAGCCCACCAGGGGGTCTGGGGCAGGAGTGAAGGTAGGGAGCAGCAGCACCAGACTTGGGTGCTTTGGAGACCACCAGATCACCCTGCCATCACTGCAGAGGGCAGAGGGATGGAGGACAGGGCATGGGGACCCACCACAATGAGCTGATAGGAGGTGCCTCTGGCCTCACCTTCCCCACCCTGTGCCCACAGCAATACTTCCACGCGGGCGGTGTGGGCCTCAAGAAGACCTTCTTGGAGAAGAGCCCAGACCTGCAGTCCTTGCGCTACGCCCTGTCCCTCTACACGCAGGCCACCGACCTGCTCATTAAGACCTTCGTGCAGACACAGGCAGCCCAGGGTAAGGGGCCCTAGGGCAGCTCCAGGCGAACACCCACCCTCCCACAGGGCAGCCTAGCCCAGCCACGAGTTGCCACTGGCTCATCTCTTCTGTGATATCACGGCAAATTGACAGCTCCTTGGCACTTGTGAACTGCTTGATGTCACCGACCAATGAAATCCACAGCTTGTGGGGGTGGGATCTCTTATGTCACCAGGCCAGGAGATGATTGACGTCTGGGAAAATCTGTGACATCATAGGACCAGGAGGTGATTGAAAGCTCTGGGGAGGGACCTCTGATGTCAAAGACCAAGGTGATTGACAGATTCTAGGGGCGCGACCTGAACACAAGGTTGACAGCTTTGGGGGTGGGACCTCAACAGTGGGGGTGTCTAAAGAGTGATTGACAGCTCTGGCATGGGCGGGACTTATGGCTTCCGGGTGGCTGATGAGTGATTGGCAGGTCCAGGGAAGGGACCTCTGGATGAAAGGTTGAAGGGGAGGAGGGGACTTCTGTATTGTCTGGGGCTAAGGAATGATCGACAGCCCCAGGGATGGGTAGGACCCCAACCTAGAGCGGTTGTAGGGAGAGGAAGTTCCCATTTCTCTAATTCTCTCTTCTCTTGCCTGTCTCCAGTCCCTCTCTGAGCTCGCGCGCCGCAGTTGGGGCTGGGGGATACAACTAGTTCCCCTCCCCAGGGACCCCCCACTTTTCAAAATTGGCATTGACTCTAATTGTGCGAACAAGGGAGAGAACTTTGGCCGCTGACCCGGACTGAAGTCCAGCAGTGGAGGGAATGGCTGGGGTGGAGGGAGCGAAGCCCTGCGGGCCCCAGGGGCGCCTTTCCCCACCCCAGTCAGCCCCTGGCCCTCCCTGGACGTCAGGCCCCTACGTTCAGCTTCGTGCCCAGTCCACACTGCTGCTTTCGATGTCCCTGGTGTCCCCGGTGCGGGAAGCTGTCCGTCTGTCCGTCTGCAGCTGACGTTTCTCTCTCTCTTGTCTCTCCTCCCTCTCACTCGCCGCCCCCTCCACGCCTCCCTTGCTCACCCCACGCACACTCGCCCTCCATCTTCACCCCTGGATTGCTCGTCTCTGCCCCCTCCCCTCCTTTCTCCCCCTCCCCCGCGATTAGTCCATGGTGGAAAAGGGACTAGGTTTACCCTTAGTGAAGACATTTATCCTGAGAAGGGTACGTGCCTCCGCCGCCCGCCCGCGCCCGGTGCCCGGTGCCTGGTGCCTGCGCCCTTCCCAGCCCCGGCTAGTAAAAGGCCCGTCCTTCCACCTCCACGGCCCCGGGCCCCCTCTGGGCTGGACCGGCTATGGGGACCAAGGTGGACAAGGGGGAAGGACGGCTTGCTGGTTCCACGTGGGGAAGGAGAAGCGATTTGAGTCGGCATCCACTTCTCCCTAAGTGTATCTCTTAAGCCAGATCCCAGCTCTGCCACTCAGTGGCGGGGCACCCAGCACAGCCCCCCTGAGTTTCATTTTTGTCATCTCTAAACTGGAGACGGTCAAGGGTCTTAATTCATAGGATGTGATGAATTAAATTTAGAGCAGTTTCTGACATTTAATAGCTCGTAGCAATGTTTAGTTGTCGTGGTGGTTGTTGTGATACCTGCTCTCACTTTTCCTAGCATAGGAAACTTTTTTTCAGGCTCGAACCATGAACCAACCCTTGTGCCAAACACTTCTCAAGGATTCTTACAGATTCCTTCCAGTTGCCCTGCAAGGGGGTCCATCAATCTATACATGAGGACGCTGAGTCACAAAGGAGAGACCACTGGCCCAAGGCACCTTCCCCTGTGGGGGAGGCCAGGGCTCGTGGGGGGAGGGGGGTGTTGAGAGAAGCACAGAAAGGCCCAGAAACGACCCTTCCTCTTGGAGCCAGCAAACCACGGGAGGGGGGTGCACAGCACTGCCCCCCTCCCCCTTCTTACTAGCTTTGGCCTTGGTCTGACCCCTCACCCCTCCCACCACCGTCTGACTCCCCTCTGGCACCCTAATTCTGGCCCGGATTGAGCTTGCAATGAAGCATCAGCCTTGGGGGGGTGGGGAGGTGAGGCTGAGCATGTGACTGGTGGGGGGAGGATGGGGTGAGAGCCTGAAATGATAAGGAAAGTGGCCTGGGGTAGCAGCGAAGATGGGGGTGCACGCCCCAGTACTGGGGTGCTGGGGGTCTGCAGGCTTCTATGACCCCTGAGCCTCAGTCACTTCCTTCCCCACGCAAGTGACCTGGAATCAACCTTGAACTGACCTGTTCTCCTTCCCCACCCCCACTCCCAATTTTCCTCCTGTTCCTCCCCCATGCATGGGGTGCTCCAGGGTGGGGTGCTTCCTGGGGGGTTGGGGCAGGGCCTGGTTGGGCGTGCTGGCAGTCACAGGTCCCCAGGCCCTACAGGATGCCCTTCCCAAAATCACAGAGGGAGGGAGCGATGGGGACAGAAATTTTTAAGCTGCCCTTCAATGAGCCTCAGCAAAACCGATCAGGATGCTTGTGCTGGCCAGACACACCTCACACTGACTCAAGCAGAGAAGAGAATTTGTTAGCTGTGGAACTAAAAGATTAGGGGTTTGTTAGCATCAGGAATAACTGTATCCAGAGTCTTTGACAGTGCCAGTGGTCACTGGTCTCTTCTGAGACCTCTATTGGGTAGCCTCTCCCCTCATTGGGCAGAAACAGCCTTGGCAGCTTAGCATCAGAGAGACAGAGAGACCTTCTCTTAACACGGCCACAGCCCCAGAGCCAACTCCTACTGGCCTGGCTTGAGTCACATGACCATCCCTCAGCCAATCAGTGCAGCATGGGCAAGGAATGCTCTGATTGGGCAGCCACAGGTCTGCGGTGAGGGTGGGAGCATTTCTCAGTGGAAACTTGGGATTGTCGATTAGAAGAAGGGTGGTGTGGGGACAGGGAAAATAAAAGAGGAAGTCCCTGTGGTTGGAGGAGAGTTAGCAAGTGTCAGAGTGGAGGGAAGTGAGGCAAGAGAGGTAATAGCAAGATATATCGGGAGGGACATTGCAGGTCACAAAAAGGACTTGATTACTTCCAGGTGACATGGGAGGGTTTTGAGCAAAGAAGGGATGTGATCTAACTTAATAGGGTTTCTCTCTGGTGCATTGAGAGCAGCTCAGAGGAGGATGTAGGAAGACAGGGAGGAGTCTACTGCAGTGGTCCAGGAATGCAATGTGGGGGGCTGGGCCTGGACGAAGACTGAGGCTAGGGAGGTAGGTGACAGGCTGGACATACTTTGAAGGTAGAGCTGGTGGGATCTTCTAATGTTCCAGTACTTAGGGAGGAAGTGAAGACAAGGAAGGGGGTCAAGGCCTAGGGTACAGGATGCCCCGACAGTTTGAGGATTGACAGAGGAGGAGGAGGAAGTGAAAAAAGAGGATAAGGAGTGACTAGTGTGTAGGATGAGAACTAGGAGAGTGTGGCACAGTTGTAGCCAAGAGGAGAAACTGAGGCATAGGAAGCCACAGTGTCGGATGCTGCTGAGATGGTGTATTAGATGAAGACTGAGTTTTGACCTCACGGTGGTCAGTTGAAAGACAAAAATGCAGAGCAGTCACATTAGGCTCAGAGAAGTTCAGAGATCTGCCTGAGATCACAGAGCAAGGCAGTGAAAGTCCTGAGCCCTGGATTCTTGACTCCCCAACAGCACCTACCACCGCAGCCCATCCTTGGTGCCACCCTGTTAGGGCTGTTGACCTGGTGCTGCCAGCACGTGGTAGGTGGGAGGCAGTCCAAGTCCCTTCTGATGGGCAGGAAAGAATGGAGCTGACACCAAGCATCCTCCCCTGCCCCACCCAGGCTCTGGTGTGGAAGACCCTGTAGGCGAAGTCTCCCTCCACGTCGAGCTCTTCACTCATCCAGGAACCGGTGAACACAAGGTCACAGTGAAAGGTGAGCAGCCTGAGACGGGAGGGGGACTGCCTCAGCCAGGATGTACTAGGTTCTAAAACAGAAACCAAACTCTTGGCTCTAGCAAGAAAAACTTTTTCCATTAAAAAAAAAAAGTTGATAAAACTGAAAATTCCAGAAGTAAACCACCTTCAGGCATGGCTGAATCCAGGGGTACAAAGTGTTACAGGAATCATTTCTTCTTTCTCCATCTCTCAGCTCTGCTATTCTTTCATTGGCTTTTATTTGTGTCAATTAGAACACAGGTAAGGCTATTTTAGCCAAGGCCTAGAGTAACAATGGTTTAAACAGATAGAATACATTTTTCTCTAAGGTGACTCCCAATGACAATCAGCCCAGAGCTGATGCTGAGACATCACAGGATTGGGGATCCATGCAGGTCTCTGCCATCTTTGTGGCACATTCACCACTCATGTACCATATTCCTGGACTACAAGATGCACCCCCCCAAATTTGGGAGGAAAATGGGGGTTGGTCTTATAGTCCAAGTGTTGCTTTATGTTTACATTGGTGAAATAATGTGTTCTTTATGTTATTAAATATTTTACCACAGTTTTTGCTCCAAAGTTTTTTTCTATTTTCCTCTAAAACCTAGGTCTGTCTTAATGATCCGGGAAAAAAAAAAGTTATTTTCCTCCTCTATAGAGTCCCAAAGAACTCAGGCTGACCAGTATTCTAGCCTGCAGCTGGAGGGAAAAGTTTAAGGCATTTTCCCTTTTAAGCCACAAGAAAGTTGTACAGTCACTTTCTCTCACATCTCATTGGTCAGAGCTTAGTCACATAGCCACACTTAGCTTCAGAAGCATGTGGCGAAATGTAGTCGTTAAGACAGGCTTTGAAAACCACAACCCTATTATGAAGGAACCTGACCAATCTTCCCCCTCCTCTTCCTCCAATAGTGGTGGCTGCCAATGACCTCAAGTGGCAGACTTCTGGCATTTTCCGTCCATTCATTGAAGTCAACATCATTGGGCCCCATCTCAGTGACAAGAAACGCAAGTTCGCGACCAAATCCAAGAACAACAGCTGGGCTCCCAAGTACAATGAGAGCTTCCAGTTGTGAGTCTGCAGGGCTCTGGGGAGCAGGCATTTGCTGTGTTAACTTCAGCCCACTAGGCAGGAGGGATGTCTGATGAGCCAGTGGTTCCTGGGTGCAGGAATGCGAGGGGGACACCAGGATGGAGTTGACTACCTTGGGGGCAGGCAGGTCTGGGGAAGTGGCATCAAATGTGACGTAACATCATGACAAGGGCTTGGGAAGGTGAGGGGAAGTGTGGGCAGAGGGGTGTTGGTCAGGGCTATTTCTGGGGCTGGAGACTCTGGTGAAGGTGCATGGGGGTCATGATGCGGAAGGAGATGTGGAGACGAGGACTCATGGAGTCTGTTGGGGCAGATCATCTGAGGGGTCTGCTGCTGGGCACAGGAGTGGAGTGTGGCTTGGTCCAGGGTATGGGGGTGCATGTTATTGAGGTGTGTGGGCTCACATCTGGATAGGCTTCCTGGTCGGCAGCTGTGAGCTAGGTCAAGGCATCAGGCATCTAGAGAGCACAGACCCTGAGGGCCATAAATAAATCTGATCAGGGTTTACAGAGGGGATGGAGTTACATGGGTGGATTTTTGGGTGAGGTGTGAACCTCACTGGGCAGGGAAATGTTGGGGGCTGTTCTTGGAGGACAGAAGTGCAGAAGGCATCAGAGCTGGGAGAGGTTGGGGCTCCTGAAGGACCACAGCTGACCATTCTGTTGGAAGAGGGCCAGAGGACTTTGGAGTACTAAGTCACCTGACAATGCTTAGGAGCAAGAACAGGTCTGAAGGGGGGCATATGCCTCCTGGGGTGGACTGGAATACTTAAGGGCTATGAGTGCAGCCTGAGAGGGGGATGTGGAAGAGTGGTGTGAGTCTGACCAAGCTGAGGGGCCCTTGATTAGCTGGTGCCAGGGCAAGTCGCCTGAGCCGCAGGATCCCAGCTTCACTAGGGATGGAGCCTCAGGGCGGGGGGGGGGGGGGGGAGTTGTGGTGAGACATCAAGGAGCAGGTCTGGAGAGCATCTTGGAAATAAAAGGAGTGGGCTAGGGAGCATGGGGAGGGGCCACATCAAGGGGAGAAACTGTGTTCAGGTAGGAGCTTGGTATGGAGCTTCTGGGTGTAATAGCTGGCGCAGCAGGTCAGTAAAGGCAGCAGCTGAGCGGATTAAGGGTGTGGATGTCAGGTGTCAGAGTGGTGGAAGCAGGGCCTAGCCAGGGGGCTCTGGGGTAAGGATTACCTGGGGTAGGAACATGATTTGGCCAGGCTGGTAGGGTGTTGTTGGATGTGGAGCAGAATGGAGGAAAGAGAGACATGACAGGGACATTCCTTGGTTGCGGTGGTGTCAGCTGGTGTGGACAGGGCCCAGCGAAGGGCTGTGGGGCCAGTCACTGGAGGCAGGGGCTGGCAGGCCTAGAGTTAGGAGGGTATGAAAACGGAAGGATTGCCCGTAGGTGTTGCTGGGGATAGGTGTTGCTGGGCGTGGTGGACTGGGCCACTTGGCTGGACAGGTGGGAGGGGCTGGTGTGCGGTGAGGCTGGCCCGTGCGTGGGATCTACCCTGGCTTCTTCCTCTCCGCAGCACGCTGAGTGCGGAGGCGGGCCCCGAGTGCTATGAGCTGCAGGTGTGCGTCAAAGACTACTGCTTTGCTCGTGAGGACCGCACAGTGGGGCTGGCCGTGCTGCAGTTACGTGAGCTGGTCCAGCGCGGGAGCGCCGCTTGCTGGTTGCCCCTCGGCCGCCGCATCCACATGGACGACACGGGCCTCACAGTGCTGCGTATCCTGTCGCAGCGCAGCAACGACGAGGTAGCCAAGGAGTTCGTCAAGCTCAAGTCGGACACGCGCTCTGCTGAGGAAGGCGGTGCTGCGCCTGCGCCCTAGCGCTGGGAGCGCGTGTGGGCAGCACGTGGCCGGTGCAGGGAAGGCGGGGCAGGACCTTTCTGAGTGCTTGTCTCCGGGTTCTGGGCTGGGTGGTCTGCGCCTGCGCCCTTGGCTTAGCTTCTTGCTCTGGGGAATTTTGAATGGGTGATGTCCCGCCCCCTCGGGAGGCCACGCGCTATGGCCCGGAGAAGGAAAAAGCCACATCTCCTCCTTGAAGCAATGCCCGCAGCGCCTATGCGGCCTTTCGAGCTAGGATGGGAGAATCCCGCCCCTTATGGAGGAGGCCAGGTCCCTCGGCTCTGGTCCCCTGCCTCCCGTCCCATGGAAAAGCCATAAGATGGGTCCCCAACCCCTGGGACCCAAGACCAATTGCCAAGTATGGAACTCTAAGCTCCCTTGAGGGGCAGGCCCTGGGCAAGGTGTGGGGGTGGTCTGGGGGTGGTCTTAGGGGCTGGAGGGACTAGGACGGTAGCCGGAGGGACTCGGAATACCCGAGTCCCTTTTTATGTTCGTGCAAAAAATAAACGGGGGAGAGGGCCTAAGGTGGGATTTCAAAAGCACATGCGCCCTCGGGCGCCCAAACCCTGGGGGCCCAGGGAACGGCTCTTGGGCACCCGCATTAACCTATGGGGGGTTTTTTTCACCTCAGTCCCACCTGACCATGCCTAGTCCTCATATCATAGAGTTCAATTCACCCAGTTGACAGATGGCTAAACTGAGGCCCTGAGAGTTGATGTGGGTCCCAGTGCCATGCCTTGGCCCCACTCCCTTTGTCCTGTGTGCCACATCCAAGGGTGGGCTGAGATCAGATGACCCCACAGTGCTCCCAATTGCTGCTAACCCCCTATAGGGGACCTCCCCCAACCATACAAGAGATTGGAGCCTTGGGCCAAGAGTCCCACTGTCCCCTCTCACCTCTGGCTGCCCTCAGCCCTTTCCACTAGGACCCTATTGGGGGGGGGGTACCCTGAGAACGCTTGACCTCCCGCCAACAGTAAGTAAGGATTTGGGATTCCTTGGACCCAGACCCACCCCCCATTCTTCCTCTCCCAGCACTCTCCAGACAGGAAAGAACAGGAAGAGACCAGAAACTTTAGAGGGGGGAGGATGTAGGGTTCTCCAGCACCGCCCCAGGCATGTGCTTTGGAAATTTGCCTCCCTCTTTTCCATGGGAACTCTCTCATCCCTTAAAACTCGTCACAAGTATCCCCTCCTGCAGAAAATTGTCACTGCTCCCCTCAGGACTTCCCTACTCTCTGTCCTAGGAGCCATGGGACTGGAGGTATCTGTGACGGCCTCTGTTTTCCCCAGACTTTGGTCTGAGGCCTCTCAAGGCCCACGCAGGCTGGGCACAGAGGAAACAGAGGGTGTGTGTGGATGGATTACGTCCTGGGGGTGGTCTCCGTGCGCGCACACATCCATATGCACTGTCTGTCCATGGCCATCCCTGTCAGCCTTCCCTTCCCACACAGATCTGGGCACAAAGGAGGTATTCCAGCCACACTGTGGCAGAGTCACAAGACAGAGAAGAGAGAGGACAAGAAAGAACATGAGAGACAGGAGAGGCATCCAAGGAGCTGGAAGGATTTGAAATCAGGAAGTTTCAGTATTGGAACAACAAGGGTCAAAGAGAGCAGGGCTTTCCCTAAGGCCACCGGGCAAGTGTATGCCATGCCTGACCTGGGATGACACCTCTAGGCTTTTGCTGCCTCACCTGGGGTGGCCAGGATTCTGAACCCTGGTGGGGTCTCAGGGTTGTCATGGGCATCGCTTCCTGTGAGGAGCTGGCCCCAGTTTTCCATGAGTCGTGGAAAGGATGAAGTAGAGTGGGCCCCTGGTGAGGTGGAGGAGTGTGACATTGAGGATCATCTTTGACAGAGCCAGTCCCCTCCCCCGGAGGGCCAGAGACAGAATAAGCACACGAACAAAAAGAGGAGGGAGAAAGAAGATAAGAGATCGGGAGCGTGTGATCACACCCCAGCAGGAACAGAGACCATGAGATGGAGAGACTCGGAGATGGAAAGGGACAGGAGAAATGGCAAAATTGGGGACCTAGAAGGAAGAGGGACTCGTTCTTCTGGCTGTCACTAGTCTGACCTAGAAGGATTTATCCAAAATAAGGAGGTACCTGACCATGTCCCCAATCCCTCTGACCCAAGCACCAGAGCCTGAAACCTCACCATGCCCCCATCAGAGATGCAAAAAAATACTTAACACCCAACTAGAAATCCTTGGGACCTCAGAGACCTTACTGTCCCTGACCCCTACCCCCTGCACTGTCCATCTTACAGATGGGGACACTAAGGGAGGGGCAGAGCAGGGACATCCTGGAGTCACCCCAGACTCTGCTGTCTGGGTACAGAGGAAGGGGAGCTGGCTGGGGACTTGGTTTGTATCACCACCCCATCTGTCCCCTGAACGTCCTTTCCTATGAACTGTTAGGGACCAAAGTCATCTTTGCTGACATGTGTTGCTTTTTTTTTTTTAAAGAAAGAACTCAAGTTGACAGTGTTGAGTAAGACCCACTCCCATCCCCTCACTACTACCCAGCCATGGTGGCTCTTTTGAGGCACAGGTCACAGGCATTGGGTTCCCCAAGCACCCCCAGCCACACAGTGGGGTGGGAGTGGGCTCAGACCCCACCCCCGGCCCTGCCCCTCTGACCTTGAAACCTGCCACCCAGTCCAGAGAGGTTCTTCCTCTACATACCTTTCTCTTAGCATGTGATTGCAAGTGTGAAGTCAAAACACTGTTTTAGTTCCATCCCATTGGTCCAGCATCTGCACAAGTGCCCCCATTTCTCTGTAAATATGTGACTTGGAACAAATGTTTAAAACCATGAAAAGTGATCATGAATGCATGGTGTTGAGATGTTTTGCACTATTCTGACTTTTTGGTCTCTGTAAAAATATTTTACTAACAGCAAACATTAAAAAAAAAAAAGAAAAAGCACCCAGCTTCAGACTCATAGTGGTGGCTTTGCCTTCCCATAAATGCAAAAATACTCACATAGCACTTACTATGTGCAGACTGTTGAACATGCATTTTGCCCACGAACCAATCTATCCACAGGCAACATTGCCCCAATTCACAGAGCAGGAAAACAGAGTCCCAGAAAGGTGAGATGTTTGTGGAAGGGCTGAAGTCAAAACATGAATCCGGGACATAGAGCAGTGGATGCTCTCAGCTCAAACAAAGAAGAACGAAAAAGCCAGGGGCACACCCCCCAAATCTGTGTCTGTCTGGGATTTTTTATTTTGTTTTGTTTTGATGTAGCAGATGAGAACCTCATTTTATGAACTTAGAGATGCAAAGGATGGAAACTTCACTTTTCTACAGCTAAATTTAATTTCTGTTTTGATCTTCCATCGCACCAGGGAGCAGAAACTGAGTGTCACTCAGCTCGGGGTTTCATGGTAAATTCAGGGACTCTCTGAAGATCTGGGCTGTTTCTGTATTACAGTGGCCGGAGCCAGGCCATGGGATCCACCACTGGGAGTGAGTTCCATGAGTATGTTTAGTTGCAAATAACAGCAAAAGGGCTAAAAGTGGAACAAACATCGACTAAACCAGAGGGGTTAAGTATGACTCAGCAATTCCACTCCAAAGACTTGCACCTGGGCAGAAAAACTGGAAGCAGCCTCAGTGTCGAGGTATTGTCACACAAGAATATTATACAGCTATAAAAATAGATGAACTACAGCCCTGGCTGGCATAGTTCAGTGGATTGAGTGCTGGCCTGTGAACCACAGGGTCACTGGTTTGATTCCCGGTCAGGGCACCTGCCTGGGTTGCAGGCCAGGTCCCGGGTGGCGGGGGAGCATGAGAAGCGACCGACCGCAGGTTGATGTTTCTCTCCCGCCCTTCCCTCCTCCCTTCATCTCCCTCTGAAAGTAAATACATAGCCGTGGCTGGTGTTCAGCTCCTGCAAAGCAAAGTGTCACCAGCTCGGTTCCCAGTCAGGGCACATGCCTGCGTTACAGGTCAGGTCCCCAGTAAGAGACGCATGAGAGGCACCTGCACATTGATGTTTCTCTCCCTCCCTTCCCCTCTCTAAAATAAATAAAATCTTTAAAAATAAGTACAATTAAAAAAAATTAAAATCAAAAATAAAAATAAATGAACCACAGTTGTCTGCATGATGCCAAGAGGGCCAGCCTGCCAGAGGCCCTGCGTGTCCTTGCCTTGGACTGGCTGACCTTGGTGGCTGTGCCAGACCCAAGCCCTTTTTCTGCTGAGACCCAGTCGTGTCCCTAGGGAGACTCGTGCGCCATGCAGTGTGACTCTGGCATAACTGCTCACTCCCTGGCAGAGGGGAACTGGCTCGTTTGCTGCTTGTCGTATTCAGCCCTTGGCCCTGTGTCCCTCCATATGGAGGGTCTGTCACCCACCTGTGGAGCTTGAAGACCGAGGCACCCGCTACTTGCTCTGCTGTGAAAAACAAACCATCTTGCTCTGACCCTCTGAGTCTCAGCGTTGCACCTACGGACCAGCAACAGGTGTGTCTGCGTTCTCTGTGAGTGAGGTTCTTCCCCAACAATTGGCACAAATGAATCTTACGAGGGTGAAAGCGGGTGAAAACAGGAAGTACGGAAGGCGTCAGAGGACATGACGGCCCATTTATAAAGCTCGAAAACTGCCTCTGCATATTTACACCCACAAGATACACCCACAGATATTATTTAAGGATACATAAGTGTGATGAATAAAAAATAGCCCTGGCTAGGTGGGTCAGTTAATTGGAGGGTCGTTCCGAACACCAAAACGTTGCAGGTTCGATTCCCAGTCGGGGCACATGCTCAGATTGCGGGTTCAATCCCCTGTTGGGGCGCATACAGGAGGCAACCAATCGATGTTTCTCACATCCGTACCTCTCTCTTTCCCTTTCTCTCTGTCTGAAATCAATAAGCACATTCTTGGGTGAGGATTAAAAATAAATGAATAAAAATTAAAAATAATAAGCATGAAGCTAAGGATTAAAACATTGAGGATTCCACCTCACACCCATTAGAATGGCTACCTTTTTTTTAAGTGTTAGCAAGGACATGGAGCAATCGGAACCCTTCTGCGCTTGTTAATAGGACTGTAAAATGGAGCCACTGCCATGGGAAATGGTATGGAGGGTCCCCCAAAAATTAAGAATAAAATTACCACATGGCCCGGCAATTCTACTTCTGGGAAATGATGAAAGAAGAGTATCGAAGAGACACTTTCACACCCGAGTTCACAGCAGCACTAGCCGCAACAGCCAAAAGGCGGAAGCGACCCTAATGTCCCCTGAAGAATGAATGGATAAATGAGATGTGGCTCATCCACATAGGGGAATATTATTCAGCCTTAAAAAGGAAGGGCATTCTGACACACACTACAGAATGATAAACATTGAAGACGTTATGCTGAGAGAAATAAGCCAGACACAAGAAGACAAATACTGTGCGATTCCACTTCTGTAAGGTCCGTAGAGGAGTCAGACT